CCTTGGGCAGGGACTAAAGGGAAAGTGGGACAGAATTCTCAGAAGGCAGGGGACGCGAGGGCTGACGTGGTCTCTGGGAGTACACTGGGAGCCAGACCAGAGACCTCTCTTGGGGGAACCACGTACCACAGAAGAAAGAAGAGGTCCTAGGACACCCAGCCTGAGGGTTACCATGACAGGGGGAGGGCAGTCTGCCTCTAGCATACGTGTTCCTTGGGGATCACAAACTTTGAGAAATATTCATGCCATGTTTTAGGTAGGGAGTCAGGAGACCATCATATGTTCAATTCACCCATCACCATCAGGGCCTGCCTTGTGCCCAGCAAGCAATCAGGGGCAGATATTCTGACAAATCACACCACCAAGACCATGATTAGTGAAGCGATGGACAAAGAGCAAATCTGTGGGAAGTGAGAAGAGGTCAGGGTGATCCTCAAGAGGGGATGGGCTTGGGCAGAATTTGAATAGGTGGGATGACATGTCCTGACTGAACTTTCTCATCAACCAACCAAAGCAAATGGGGCACTAGTGTTTGAGGGCACAAGTGTGGGAGTCCCTGTGCTTGGAGCTTCCCCTCCCCCACAGTGCCTGCCTACATGGAGTACTCCTTTCTCAGCTCTGGAAGAGGAACTGTGAGTGTCCCTGAAGCTCAGGTCTAGAGCATACCACCTTCTGCTTGCGCTTCAGAAAATATATCTTCTGAGGCCTGAGTTGTGGCTCAGTGGTAGAGCACTTGCCTAGTATGCATGAGACACTAGGTTCAATCCCTGGCACCACATAAAAATAAACAAATAAAATAAAGCTATTGTGTCCATCTACAACTTAAAAAAAACAAAGAATATTAAAAAAAAAAGGGAATATTTCCTCCAACTTTGGCCCAGGTGTCCCCCAAATGCCTCTTCCAGCTGGCCTCTTGGTCCTTGTCCCTGAATTGGGATGGCAGGAGGGAAAGATGTCTACCTTGGACAGGTGGCCTTAGGACTCACCTCTGTCTTCTCCTATCAGCCCAACTCAGGGGTATTTCTGTTGCCAATCAACCCCGGGCTCTACTCTAGATTCCTAGGTTCTGATGGGATAGGAGGCCAGAGTTAGACTTAGGAGCCTAGGAGCTCAGATTATCCAAGAAGGAGAATGAGGTGGGTCTCTTCTCTAGGACAACAGAGGCAGCTGGACAAAGGATGGGGCAGTAGGAGGAAAGGGGTCCTCACTGTGGGGTCCTCAGTTCCAGATCCAACCACTTTACAGGTTCCACCAGAGGCGGCCCTCCAGGCCATAACCCAGTCACCAACTGTAGAAACCTTTTTCTTCCTGCCTGCTCCTTTCTTTTCGAACCTGGAAGGCCTGTTAGCTCCTGCTTCTCCTCTCCAGGCCTGGTCTCCCCTACTCCCTGCTGACTTCCTCACCCTGTATTCCTATCTCTCCCCCCAGTCTGTTTCTTTCCCTTCAGGCTATGGGAGCCTGGTGTGGCTGCCCAGGGAAGATTGTATCTGACTGAATCAGGGCAGGCTGAGGGCATTGCTGGGTGAGCCGGGACCTCCTTCAGTTCTTGCTGTGGACCGGGTCCAAGCGACTGAGGTATCTGAGTTACTCTCGGTAGTTGACTGAAGAAGAGGGAGCTGGAGATCTTCTCAGTCAGCATGCAGCAGCAGGGAGCCTGTCTGGCGTGGACCTCTCTACTCCCTTGTCCCTTCCCTGTCCCCTCTCAGCACTCCTTTACTCCGTCTCTCTTCTCTCTACAGATGGGACCCAGGTGAGCCCGGGTGCCCACTGCCCCAGTCCTCCTGGCACAGGTAAGAGTCAGGCCTGAGGGACACTGTGGTGGGAGGTAGAAGTGGATGGAAGGGACATAAGAGGCGTGAGGACTCAGGGTTGGAAAAGCAGAGATCTGGCTGATGGGCCGGAGTTGGGAAGTTGGGGTTCCAGTGGAGGGGACAAAGTTGGGGTTCTAGCTGAAGGGGAGGAATGGAATCATAGGCACCTCTGGGTCCAGGCTGCTTGCAGTGCTGGGAAGCACAACAGGAAAAGGAAAGACGGGATGCTCCTCTTGTCCTGGCTGGGTTTAGTGAAACAGGAAAGAAAGTAGGAAGCTAATATTTATTCTCAGACCCCTGCCCCACGTCAGGCACTGGGCGAGGTGTGTCCTTGTTTGTTGACTTGTTCAGTTCCCAGCTGACCCTGCAGGGAGGGCATGGTAGACCTTGAGGGGTGGGAAGATGCCCCAGGCTGCTCCAGTGGAACAGAAAAGACTCCTCTGCCTTGGTGAGAAGGTTCTCTTCCTTGTCCTCCCTGCTGGCCCACACCTCCTCTGTTATTAGGCCACTCTGGGAAAAAATTCCGAGTGGACTTTCTGTTGCTGCATTGGTTTAGGACACGCCCACAGGGCTAGTTTGGGACTAGAGGTCTGAGGCTTTCTCTTCCTTAATGACAACTCAGAATGCACAGCCTGATGCCTAGTAATTTGGTATGGAAGGGAGAATGGAACTCAGGATCTTTGTTTCAGTCCCAGCTGTCCTAAAGCTTATAGGCTGTTTGGGGAGACAACACACAAATGAAAGGAGAGAAAAAATAGTACAATGCAATATGTGACGAATATCCAATGAGAGGTGTCTGATTCATGAGTTCATCCATTCATTCCAGAATCTTTAATGAGCCCCATAACTGTGCCAGGGTACCTTCTGAAGCATTTTAGGAGGGATACAGAGATTTATTCATTGATTCCATGTTTGTTGAATTTATCATTTGCCAGGTACTATTTTAGGCCTGGGAATAAAATGAGCAATTCACAAAACCAAGTCCTGCCCTTGGAGCTTAACTCAGGTATAGGACTGCCCACAAAGTGCCTATCATGCCAGGGAGCAGTGAACATAAAATCTGAGAGGGAGGGACTCTGGGCTCTGCACTGGGTCCAGGGAAGAGGAAAGACACTGGTTGGGCTTTAAGCAATGGGTAGGATTTGAAAAGGTAGAAGTAGAAGTGTGAGGACAGCACTAGTAGGAGGACATTGTGAAAAAATTCAGAGGACATTCTGTACGTGGGCTTGTTACTGGGTGGAAGCTGATAGCTGAGGAGGAAGGTTTGTGTTCAGATGTAGGAGAGTTCAGATGTAGGAGACCAAGTTGAGAGAAGCCGAGTTAGGACCAGATTATCGAGTCTTCAAATGCTAAATCACCCTGACAGGCTCCGCAGGACTCCAGGCAGAGCCCTCCCTAAGTTCTCAGCAGCCTCCTGCTCATTAGGTGGTGGTGGTACTGAGAGTAAGGAATGGGGCGACTGTTGGGGAACTGCTCCTAGCCTGTGTGTGTGGCTGAAGTGACTGTCCTTAGTTCTGGGTGACCAACCTTGGTTTCCCCTAAGCCCTGTATCATTAGGGGAGTCATCCCAGGAAGCCAGTAAACCAGAACCTCGGAGGACTGAGACCTTTCATAGAGCAGGAGTGTGTTGGCATTGGAGACCCAGACTCAACCAGAATGGGACTCTAGACTCCTAAATAGCCACATGAATGAGGAGTGAGGACACAGCTGCAGCAGGGGATTATCCTGGGGAAGGGAAAGCAGGAGGAGGTGGGACAAAGCTGTGCATTGTCTACTGTGGCCACATCTGGATGCACACCCATCTCCTCAGGTTTCTTGATATCTGGAGAGTCGCGGTGGATTTCTATTTGCTTTGCCCCTCTTGAGTCTATGTCATAGTGTTGGAGTGATTTCCCTTAGTGACAACCTATTGTCAGCCTCTCTTCCTTTGCGCAGCAAGAAACCCCCTCCAAAGGAGGTAACTTCCTGGAAGTTGGTGGAAAATAGAGCACTGACTTCTGTAAGACTGGGAACCATGCTCACCGTGCTCCTAGCTGGGTGACCTTGAACAGGCCTTTTATGTTTGGGCCTCAGTTTCTTCATCTAGCATATCAGAATAGTAATAATGACCTCCCAGGACAGGTGGAGGTGATGAGATGACAGATTTTGCAGACTCTTGTGCACATGGTGCACTATAGATGTTAAGATGGTGATTAGTGGTTGTGTTGGTCCTAGAGGCTGCATTTCCTGCTTCCCTAACTGGTACTTTGCCAGGATGCTTTTCCAGTCCCCTCAGCTCCAGGCCCAGAGGACAGCTGTGGCTGCTCCATAAAGAGATGCCTGAAGGAGGCTCTCTTGGGAAGTTTCCCTCATGGTGTGTCCTGTAGTAGGAATGGCCTGCTCCCACCTCCTCCTGCTTTCCCTTCCCCAGGATAATCCCCTGTTGCAGCTCCACCTCCCAGTATCTCCAAGTCTCTGGCTGCTCAGTGCAGCCTGGCCCAGCTGGCTGTGCTGGCATGGACCCTGGTCTGGTGGCTAACTATAAATAACCCCTGCACCCACGGGCTTGGCAGGGTGCTTCTGGCGTGGGTGCAGAGGACACTGGAGAAGAGGCAGCTGAGCCTTCTGTCCTCACCAGGCCAGGCCCAGAGCTGGCCTGGAGGGGCTGGGAGCAGCCTCCGTGAGCATGTGGGTTTGATGAGCTGAGGGAAGCTGCACTGGGAACAGTGTTCCACACTGGGAACAGGTCCAGGGTGATCAACTAGGGCTGGCTATGGGCCCCAGCCATCACTTTTGAATCCCAGGACTCACGACAGAGTACAAGAGGTCACAATTTAGGGTCTGTTGTCTGATCTCTGCTGGTGAGCCTAACCCATTAGAGGGTAGCTGGGCAAACCCCCTCATTCCAGAGGGAAGGAAGGGAAGGAGAGGGTGGAGCCTAGAATGTACCGCTGCAGCAGTGATGCAGTGTGAGTAAATCCCCATAGCCCTCAGCCCAGGCCTGGGGAGGAGTGGTCAATGCAGTGGTAGAGGGGCTTTGTAATTTTATGACTGCCTTTCCTACAGGCAAAATAGAATTGATAGCACTTACTTGCAGGCCAGGATTAAGAAGAGAAAAGGCCCATTGGAGGTGTTTTGCTGTTGCTGAGTTTGCCTGTGCTCAAGTCCCTGGAGATCAGCTTTCCAGTGACCCTGCCCCTCTGTTCACAGGCTGCCCCACGCCCCGTGCAGACACGCCAAGCCCTCAGCTCCAGCCCATGGACCTGCGGGTGGGCCAGCGGCCCGCAGTGGAGCCCCAGCCAGAGCCCACACTGCTGGCCTTGCAGCATCCTCAGCGCCTTCATCGCCACCTCTTCCTAGCAGGCCTGCAGCAACAGCAGCAGCAGCAGCAGCAACAGCAGCAGCAGCAGCAGCAGCAGCGCACAGCCGAGCCCATGAGGGTAAAGACGGAGCTCCCTGCACATGCCTTCCCTCCCTCTCTCCCTGCAGCCTCCTCCACCCCAGTCTCAGGCCTCGACTCCTGCTTCTTCTTGGGCTGCTGGCCCCACCCACAGCTCTCAATGGACCCACCGATGATGCCCGAATTGCAGGGGGCACAGCAGGAGCAAGAGTTGCGGCAGCTTCTCAATAAGGACAAGAGCAAGCGAAGTAAGGATGGGATCTCTGCCTGCCCCCACTTGGGTGTCTGTGATTACCCTTGGGTCTGGGAAGCATTAAATGGGAGGGTCACAGCTGCTGGGTCATTCTCTGCGTGCCTGTAAATGGAGGTGGGTGTGGGGGTGTCTGCAGGCTTCATGGGAGAGGTGAGGCCTTAGGCTTGGCTCTTGCCTGAGGAGTCCCTGAGACATTGTGTACTGGAGATGTGGACAGGGCAATGGCAGAGAATGTTCTGGGAGGCCACTTGTTTCCCCTCTCCCAGCCCACTTCTGACCCTTTGCCCCACAGGTGCTGTAGCCAGCAGCGTGGTCAAGCAGAAATTGGCAGAAGTGATCCTGAAGAAACAGCAAGCAGCCCTGGAGAGAACAGTCCATCCCAATAGCCCCAGCATTCCCTACAGGTAGCTCCCTGTCCCCACCTGTCCCTCGGGTTCTTCCCACATACGTTCCCCCCACCCCCATATTACCCTGTCAGCCCCCTTTCTTCCCCAGGGCCCATCGCCCTTCCTATACACATAATGCACCTCCGAACACACCTCAACCAATGTCTGCCTTCTCTCCATTCATTCTCTCTCCTTCTCTCACTTGAGACCCTTCCTGTACACATACTCACACCCCATCCTGGCTTTCTTTTGCACATGAGACTCTCTCTCTTTGTTTTCCCCTAAGCACAAAAATATCCTAGTTCCTAGAGCAGGTTTCTATTGCAGGGGACTAAGTCCCTAGTGGGCCTGTTACCAAGCACCCAGACTCTGGCTTCTATGCCTAGATTGGAGGTCTGCATTATGGCTGCTGGGTAGCATGGGTAGCCCACTGCTGCCACCTGGAGATGGCTCCCATTTTTGCCTGGCCCTGTCATCTCTGCCTCCCTGGCAGGTCCCAGGGCCCACATTCAGGAAGGCGGCTGTGCAGTGTGAGGTCTCTGTGGGCCTTTGGGTGTCCGCCCCTCTGAAGCACCTTGGCACTCACTCCACAGAACCCTTGAACCATTGGATACAGAAGGAGCTGCCCGCTCCATGCTCAGCAGCTTTTTGCCTCCTGTTCCCAGCCTGCCCAGTGACCCCCCAGAACACTTCCCCCTGCGTAAGACAGGTGAGCTGGACAGACAGACAGGAACTCTTCAGATTAGGGTTAGGGGAAGGGCCTTGAATTTGGGTCAGTAGTGCAGAGCCAGGAGGGCTGGGAGTGCTGGGTTGGGCAGGAACAGCATGCTGTGGGCTTTTCTCTTACATAGCTCTCAGAGATGACCGGAAGGGGAGGGACCTAAGGGCAGAGGAGAGAAGGGTGGCTGCCATGGGGCTTGAGTAATGCTGGTACTCCCTGCCAGTCTCTGAGCCCAACCTGAAACTACGCTACAAACCTAAGAAGTCCCTGGAGCGGAGGAAGAACCCACTGCTTAGAAAAGAGAGTGCGCCGCCGAGTCTCCGGCGCCGGCCGGCAGAGACCTTCGGAGGTGAGGGCCAGCAGAGTGGGTGGGGTTGTCCTAGGCCCTAGTTGGTCTTGACCCTTTGGGTCCCCCCTACCCCTAGTAGACAGGAGTCTCCCTTTGGGGGCTACCAAGTGTGTTGTACTATATCCCACACACCCACTGTGAGGTGAGTTGGGGTTGATAGGCAGCTCCTACTGGGCAAACTGACATTTGTCTGAAAAGGGAGCACCTTTAAAAAAAATTGCCCAAGATGCTGTAGCCTAGCTGTGGCCTGCCATCTTCCTGCTCGTCAGGGAATAAGTCAGGAAGCAGAGGCAACCTGTTGGGGAAGGGGTTGTGCCTGGGAATCCTGTACCAGGGGACACTATGCCTTTGCATCTACCCTTTGGCCCTGATTACACCTCCCTTTCTTCCCAACCCTCAGACTCCTCCCCTAGTAGTAGCAGCACGCCTGCGTCAGGGTGCAGCTCCCCCAATGACAGCGAGCATGGCCCCAACCCTGTCTTGGGCTCGGAGGTAAGGCCTTGTGGGGACTGGGCTTCCTGGGGCACTTCTGAGGTTCAGCCTTTTTCCAGCAAGTGGCCCAATCTGGCCTGGGGCCACAGGGTCTGGGCAGCCCCCACCAGGGCCTCCTGGGTGTTCTGGGAAAGGCGTGCCAGGGGTAGAGGTCTGGGACCGGTGACCCGTCGCCCTGCTCCCCATGGCAGGCGCTCTTGGGCCAGAGGCTGCGGCTGCAGGAGACTTCTCTGGCCCCGTTCGCCTTGCCGACAGTGTCCTTGCTGCCCACAATCACGTTGGGGCTGCCCGCCCCTGCCAGGGTGAGTGGCTGGGCGCCCCTCCCCCACTCCAAGCTCATCCAGCCTCATTCACACCCTTGTCCTCCTGTCTGACCCCATCACCTTCACAGTCCTCTGCTGGAATCTTCTCCCCATGACTTCTCCCTGCCTCTCCCCTAGGGTGATGGTGACCGCAGGACCCATCCAGCTCTGGGCCCTCGTCCAGTCCTGGGGAGCCCCCATGCTCCCCTCTTCCTGCCCCACGGTCTGGAGCCGGAGGCTGGGGGCACCTTGCCCTCTCGCCTGCAGCCCATTCTCCTTCTGGATCCCTCAGTCTCTCACACCCCTCTGCTGACTGGTGAGTCCTACGGCTTCTCCTGGGAAGGGGCTGGATCTTGCACCCTGCCAAGGGCCACGCTTGAGGAGGGAATCCATCCTTCCAGACTTAGTCCTATGCGTCTCCCTGCCAAGCCCCTGCCCCCACCACGCCCTTGCTTCCTTCCCTGGCTCCCCATGGTTCCCTCCTTATGCCCCACCCCATTCTTTCCAGTGCCCGGGCTTGGGCCCTTGCCCTTCCACTTAGCCCAGTCCCTACTGACCACCGAGCGGCTCTCTGGGTCAGGCCTCCATTGGCCTCTGAGCTGGACCCGCTCAGAGCCCCTGCCCCCCAGTGCCACTGCTTCCCCATTGCTGGGCCCCCTGCAGACCCGCCCGGAGCGGCTCAAACCTCACATCCAGCTGATCAAGGTGAGAGGAACTGGGTAGAGGAGGGACTGAGGGGATGCTTAACTGGGATCCTGGGAAAGAAGAAGGGGGCTTATGGAGGGCAGGAACCTGGGAGGCAAAAGAGAAGATGACTACCAGAGTTCTAGTAAGATGAATGGCTGCCCTGCCCAGCTCACCACCTCCTACCTCACCCCTATTGCTCCACCTGGCTTCTTAGCCAGCCATCTCACCTCCCCAGAGACCAGCCAAGATGAGTGAGAAGCCCCGACTGCAACAGATACCCTCAGCTGAGGACCTAGAGACCGATGGCCGGGGAGTAGGGCAGGTGGTGGATGATGTCCTGGAACACAGGGAGTCAAGCCATGGGCAGCCTGAAGCCAGAGGCCCCGTTTCTCTCCCACAGCACCAGCAGGTATGGCTGTGCCCAAGTTGCCCGTCAGAAAGTGTAGTCAGAAGGCCTAGAGCCTGGCCTAAGATGGGGAAAGGAGGTAGATAGGCAATCATGGAAGTCTGAAATCCAGGTCTTTGCAGGATTGTTTCCTTCTGAGGGCCGTGAGGGAGAATCTGTTCTAGGACTTTCTCCTTAGCTTACAGACAGTGGTCTTCTCCCTGTACACTGTCTTCCCCCAGTCTGTGTTCAAATTTTTTTCTTTTAATAAAAACAACAGTTCTATTGTATTAGGGCTCACCCTAATGACCTTATTTTAACTTGATTTTCTCTGCAAAGATCCTGCCTGTCTCTAAATAAGGCTACTTTCTGAAGTCCTGGGGGTTAGGACTTCAGTGTATGAATTTGGTGGAGGACACAATTTCATGATAATACTTGATAATAGTCCATATATATACAGTGCCTCTGCAAGTCCCTGTGTTCTAGCATAGCTCTTGTAGATGAGGAGATCCTGGTCAGAGTGAGCTGAAGTGCCTAGGGAGCTCTGGTGGAACAGGGTGGTCAATCTCGGGTGTAGGTCTTTAAGGGGCCTGTCGAGGGTAGGAGTCTCAGAGAGTTAAAAGCCAGAGCCTAGGTGGGAAGCAGGGCTAGATGCATCCTGGAATCTCTTCAGGAAAGGAGTATGCCTGGAGGTTCCTAAGACTTTGGTTAGGAGAAGATGGAGCAGATTCTGAGAAACTAGAGACTGAGGCGCCTGTTTTCCCTCAGATGTTGCTCTGGGAACAGCAGCGTCTGGCCGGGCGGCTTTCCCGGGGAAGCATCGGGGACTCTGTGCTGCTTCCTCTGGCCCAGGGCAGACACCGGCCCTTGTCCAGGACTCAGTCTTCCCCAGCTGCACCTGCCTCTCTACCGACCCCAGAGCCCACCTGCCAGGCCCGAGTCCTCACCAATCCAGAGGCACCCCCCAGGACCCTGCCCTTCACCACAGGTAAGCCAGGATTAGAGTGCGGGGCAGAAGGAAGGGCCTGGGAACACGAGTCCTTGTCTGTACGTGATGGCACTTGGTACATTTTTAGAGACTTCAGAGTGCTTTCCTAGTCTTACTGGACCCCTACAGTATCCCATGAAGCAGGTGGATAGATAAGTTATTGTTTTACACTTGGACACCAAGACTCAGGGAACCTGTGACAAGCCTCTGGTAATGTAACAAGTTGGCCAGTATAAGAATTTGAGTCCCCTGCCACCATGTCTACCCCTTTTCAAAAATGTTATTTATTACTGTTGTTTTGTTTCTAAAAAGCTCAAAAGCATTTCAGAAATTTTGAAAAATATAGAAAAGCATAATAATAAAATAAAAGTCACTGAGTAGTATCCCACCACCCAGAAGTCACTCATCTTAAATTCTGCTGTAAGTCAGTACAGGCTGTGTTCTAGCTAGATGCACTTGTGCAGATGCCATGAATACATTGACTAGATTTTGTACCCCGCTTTATTAAGTTAGTCTTGATATAATTAACCTTCAAAACTGAGATTCTTTTATTTCATCTCAGGGTTTTATTTTTATTTTATTTCTTATTGGTTGGATGTTTAGATTGTTATTCATTTTTCCTCATTTTAATTCTCTTATGCATAAGTCTTTACTCATCCTGGGATTATTTTCTGAGGGTCATTCTTAAGGAGTAGCATTCCTGGGTCAAACGGTCTGAGCATTTTGAAGGTCTGTGGTGTCCCAAGATATGCAGATACCCTGCCATAGAAGTGTACTCTACCGACCTCTAGAAGCTTCCCCTGGGTCAGGCTGAAATAATTCTTTGGTCCCTGTGGAGTGGTTCCAGAAACCTACCTCGTACCCTACAAGAATACTAAAGTCCACAGATGCTCCAGACCTTTATATAAAATGGTATAGGATTTTCATATGACCTGTGCACATCCTCACACTTACTTTTCTTTTTTTTTTTCTTTTGTGTGTGGTGCTGTGGATTGAACCCCAGGGCCTCATGCATCCTGGGCAAGCGCTTTACCACTCAACTATATCCCCGGCCCTTCCCAATATACTTTAAATCATCTTTAGAGTATTTATAATGCCTACTGCAATGTAAATGCTGTGCAAATAGTTATATAATTATATTGTTTAGGGAATAATGACAAGGAAGAAATGTCTGTACATGTTCAGTACCTAGGAATTTGTTTTTTTTTTCCTGAATACTTTGATTCCCAGTTGGGAGAGCTGGCTGAGCTGGCTATAGTCACTCTCCAGAGCTGTGGTCATTGTATGACATGGCCTTGTGTTATTGTGGAGTACCTAGCTCCCAGTTTGGGGGTTCCCTAGGAATTCTTTCTCCTCTTGCTCCCCCTTAGTGGCCTTTGGGTTCACGATACCCAGAGGGAAATGCCTGCTGTCAGGCCGGCTGTTTATTCCCCAAGCCCTTGAGGGCACGGTAGATGTGATGGACCATGTGGGGAGACAGCGGCCGTGTGGCAGCTCTGTTGGCTGGCCCTGTGTTGATGTGTCCATCAGGCTGTCCAGTTGCCCTGGCACTCGTGGAGTTGTACATATGGAAGTGCAGGGTTAGGGCTCAGCAGCGGAGCAGGATGAGGAATGCTGGTCTGTATGGGGTGTGTGGTGCCATGCCTGACTCTAGGTGGATCCATGTGGGCACTGGGTGGTCTGTCAGTAGTTCACTGTTGGGGGCTTGGGGTGCTCTCTGGCACTCCTGCCCTGAACCCTGCTCCCGGCAGGGCTGGTCTATGACTCAGTCATGCTGAAGCATCAGTGCTCCTGTGGAGACAACAGCAGGCACCCTGAGCACGCTGGCCGCATCCAGAGCATCTGGTCCCGGCTGCAGGAGCGAGGCCTCCGGAGCCAGTGTGAGGTGAGGAGGCTGGGTGGGGGGTCTCAGAGCCCGTGGAGGTAAAGGTAATGGGAGGGAAGAAAGGGTGAGAGATGGAAGCGGAGGGGTAGACAAAGGCTTAGGAACTCTGTGGGCTCTTCCTCAGTGTCTCCGGGGCCGGAAGGCCTCCTTGGAGGAACTGCAGTCAGTCCACTCTGAGCGACATGTGCTCCTCTATGGCACCAACCCACTCAGCCGCCTCAAACTGGACAATGGAAAGCTAGAAGGTAGGAGATGGATGGTGCTTGGCCCCAGATATCCCCGAGCACACCCACCTTACCCGCTCCCATGCTCTTTTCTCCATCCTGCCGGGCCGGCCTCCTCCAGCCTCCTGGACATCCCCGTTTGAACTCACTGCTCCCATCCCTCTGCTGCCCAGCTACTCCTCTCCCTACCCGGTTTCTCTCCCTCAACACCTACCTGGCCTCTTCTGGGCCTCCCTGCTCCCAGCCACACCAGAGGCTGAGAACATCCACACTCACATGGACTGGTCCTCTCCCCACAGGGCTCCTGGCACAGCGGATGTTTGTGATGCTGCCCTGTGGTGGGGTTGGGGTAAGTGTGCCCAGAGGTCTCCAGTGGGCATTGCTTAGTGTTCTCGACTCTCCTCCCTTCAGTCTTCCCAGGCCCAGCCCCCACTGGCTGTTCTTGTGGTTCTGCCAGACCTGGTGGGCCAGGGACTTTCCCATGATGCCCCTCTGCTGGCTGGAATCTCCTTGTGGATGGGTGTATCCTGGGTCCGTCAGTGTCCCTGATTGTGGAGTCCAGTGCCTCCACCTATTTAGAAGATGTTTGGTAGATATTAACTGAGGCCCAAAGAGCAAGGCCAAAATTGGGGCTTAAGATTGTCCCCTCTCATTAAGGCGCCAGTGGCTGGGCATGGGCCATTCCACACCAGCCCCCAGGCTCCTTTGTCTGCCCTGCAATGGGCCTGTCAGCAGTCACAGTGGCCTCAGGCTGGTCCCCACTAGGCATAGTGTGGGGCTGAGGTGGTTCTTCCTGTGTCCTTGGAGATCCAGGAACTTCCCTAGCCGGGACCCAGCCTCCCAACCCCCAGCTTTGCTTCTTCACTCCTCACCTGTCAAGGGCTTCCTGCCTGCTCTGGCAAGGCTCTCCCTGTGGTGGTATCAAGCATGGTGTGTGAAGGCAGGGGATGGAGGTCAAGTTCAGCGAAAATGGGAGCTGTAGTGGGGGGGCTGTTTGGGAGCCAGTCAGTGCCCTGTTCACAACTCCCCATTTCTTGCCACTTTCTGGTTTTTCCAACTGTTGTTGCTTCTGTTTTCTCCTCCCTCCTCTCCCTCTCTGTCCTTCTCTCTCTCTCTCTCTCCAGCCTCTTGCGACTCTCTCTGCCTTCCTCGCCTCTCTTGGTCCGCCTCGCCCTCCCCATCTCCCCATCATGCCCCCCGGCCCCTCCCTAGCCTTGAGGCCCAGGGACTGGGTTTGGGGGGCCTCCCAGCCTGGGCTAGGGGCCCTGAGTGGAAGACAGTGGTGCAGACGGCCCCTCCAGCTCCGACCGTCCCGCAGGGCCTGAGCAGAGTCAGCTGGGGCTTAAAACCCCCTCCCGGCCCAAACCCCAATCCCGCCCAGGTAACACCATGCCCCCTCCCCTGACCGGGGAGGCAGGCGTGATGCTGCCAGCAGAATGCTGGCCACAAATAGGCTGGTGCTGGGACTTATGCTGGGAAGGAGAAGCCCTGCTGGGATTGGGGGACACAGGAGGCCTTGCCTTTGGGCGGTGGGGCACTGGGGAGGCAGCGCCGTCTGCCCAGCTCCCTGCCCCTGGGGTCCTGGCCATGGGATGGGTACCACCCCACTGGGTGCTGGCTCCTGTGGGAAGCCTTGGATGATGCGGGCTCTGACTCTGGCCCCCACAGGTGGATACTGACACCATCTGGAACGAGCTGCATTCCTCCAATGCAGCCCGCTGGGCCTCTGGCAGCGTCACTGACCTCGCCTTCAAAGTGGCTTCCCGTGAGCTAAAGGTAGGAGGTTTTGATTGAAGGCAGGCACACCGTGGAGGAGGCAGAGGATGGGGAAGCAGGATTCAGAGCCCAAATCCCTGACCTCTCATTCCTCTTGGATATTGCCACAAGGTTTGGGAGGCAAAATCGAGGGCTCTGAGGAGCAGGGTAAGATTTGAACCTGAGATTTGTGTTACTTGGGGAATCAAGCCACTCTGCCCCTGGACTCTGGTTTCTTAGAGACACAGGGTCCTGATCATCCAGGACCATTTAAGACCCACTGCATGGCTGTAGATAAATCATAGGCCATCTCTGGACCTCATGCATTAGCCTGTTGCTTTTATGTAGGGCCAAGGGGCTCTACAACTGTTGGTGTCATGCTTGTTTGCTCTAAGCGGGGCACCTTCTAGGGTTTTGTCCTGAAGTGTACATGCCTGCCATGTAGGACCTTATAGCCCAGTGTGTTCACAGTGTGCTCAGTGTCAGCTCTCCTTGGCCAAGCTTTGCAGTTAGCACAGCTCTGGTATTAAAATCCTGGCTCCACCATTTACAACCAGGCATCTTGGGACATGTTACTTAACTTACCTAAGTTCTGGATTCCTCCTCATCTATGAACTGGAAATGGTGATAATGTTTATCCTATGGCTCACATAGAAAGTGTTTAGCACAGGGCCAGGTGTGTAATTTTTACATAACACTCAGTAGCTGTCACTGCCAAGTGATTACCACCAGAACACAAGAGGGAAGGATTCTCTGTTCAAGTTCAGCCTAAAAGCAGTGGACACCCAGCATGGGGGCCAAGGCCTGGGCCACTCAGCACCAGCCAGGACATTGTTAGACATGTTGGCAGCTGTTGCACTGTGGCCACTTCTCAGAAGAGGAGACTGGGCCCTGGGGGAAGGTTCATGCAGATGCAGGTCAAGGACTGGCTGTTTGGTGACAAGCACTCTTTCCCTTTCCAGAATGGTTTTGCTGTGGTGCGGCCCCCAGGACACCATGCAGATCATTCCACAGCTATGTAAGGACTGGGAGAAGCCTGGGTGGGATGAGGTGGGGACAGGCCCTCAGAGCCTTCTCATAGGCTGGGCCACGCTAGGTACTGGGGGATAGGGAACTGGACAGATGCCAGCATGGGGAATGAATAGGCTGACAGGACCCGCTCTGCTTTTCACAGGGGCTTCTGCTTCTTCAACTCAGTGGCTATAGCCTGCCGGCAGCTGCAACAACAGGGCAAGGCCAGCAAGATTCTCATTGTAGACTGGGTAGGTCTTGGCTCCTCGCACCTTTAGATTCAAGAGCCCTGAGCCTGGCATGAGAACTGTGGCTGCATGCCTTGGTCCTGCATTAAGCCTCCTTGAGCCTCAGTTTTCTCTTGTGCAAAGTTTGGGTGAAGATAGATAGCACCACATCACAGAGCTGTTGGGAGGCCCAGAGAAGACGGTGTTGGGACTTTCATACAAACTCCCACAGTGGGTAGGAGCTCCATTTGAGTGTTGTCTTTTGGTCTCTGTTGGCTTCTTTTGGCAGATCTAGTGATTTCTGCATTTTCCCTATGTGTAGTGACAATAACAATAACATCAGAGAACATCATTATATCACTAATCCCATCCAAACACTGGTTTTACATCTGATCCTGACCATAACCCATTTCACAGATGAGGAAAGTGAACACAGAGAGGTGAAGTAACTTGCACACTCACTCGCCTCATGATATGTGAGGCTAGGATTTGAACCCAGGCCTATTAGCTCTAGAGTACATGCATTTAACAACTAAGCTACATTTCTTCTGCACCGACAGCCATGAAAGTAGAAGTTGAGAACAGTGGAGGAACTTTGCACACTTGACCCCATGCATGGTCCCGTGAGTCAAGTGCAGGACCCAGTTCTTAGGAGGGATGGGACTGGGCTCATGTACCTGACCCTCTGTCACTGAGCTTGGTTTCTGATCACACACTTGGACAAGATGCAGTAGAAGGACTATGAGCATGATTCTGTACTTTTTCCTTACCTGATACTGGTTCACCCCCACACACTCCTCTCTCCTGTGGTCTGGCCTACCCTAGCTAGCTATCTTGATATCTAGATATCTAGATGGATTGATAGAAAGGCAGATAGGTAGAGAGAAATGATTTATATATTACTCATATATATGTATACATAGAGAATGTCTTTCCACATGGAGAGATAAGGTTCCATAGAGTAATTGGGGCTACTCAACCATGTAGCTCTAGGAACCCTAGTTTCCTAACCTCCGGTCTAGGTTTCTGACCTTCAGAATGGTCACCAACCTTGAAATCCTTCCAACACATCCTGGCCTCCATTTCTCTGCTTTTGGACCTTCCCTAATCTCCACCACCCTGCACAGGATGTTCACCATGGCAATGGCACCCAGAAAACCTTCTATCAGGATCCCAGTGTACTCTACATCTCCCTGCATCGCCACGATGACGGCAACTTCTTCCCAGGCAGTGGGGCTGTAGAAGAGGTAAACACACATCAGGACTCTCCTCCTGCCCTTGCCCTGTCCCTGCCATGGGAGCTATGTGATCCTGGGCAGATTGCTTAACCTCTCCATTCCTCAGTTTCCCCATCTGGAAGTGAAGAGTCTTGATGAGCTCTTCCTGCAGCACCAGCATCCTGAGATTCCTCTTCTGGGCCTCTGCTCTCCTCATGTCTCTCTTGTCCTGTTTCCCAGGTGGGGGCTGGCAGTGGTGAGGGCTTCAATGTCAACGTGGCCTGGGCTGGAGGCCTGGAACCCCCCATAGGGGATCCTGAGTACCTGGCTGCCTTCAGGTAAAAATACTCTAGGAACCCAGAGGAGGCCCAGCTCAGCAAGGCCACCCTGCCCTGCCCCTTCTTCTCCAGCACCAGGTTGGAGGTGATCAGCTGGCATGTCTGCCTGTTCTTACTCCGTTACTAGACGCTGTAGGTTAGCCCTAATGGGAAGATGAGATGCACACAATGAGAAAGTCTAAGAGTACTTAAAAAAGTCACACACTACCAAGAGCCAGTGTTGAGCTGAGTGTCAGGAGATGGTCAGAGTGTAGGGAGCAGAGACATCATATTCAAAGAAGGCTGCCTGGAGGAGGTGGGCATTGAGCAAGAGAGGAGAAAAACTATGGAAAAAGAGAAAAGAGATGATGGCCATATTGAAGGAGCTACTTCAAAAAACTAGATAGAAGAGCTTCAGGCTCTGTCAGGAGCCCTTACCTCTTTCACTCTGGGCCCCTGTACTTCCTTCAGGGAAAGGGATCTGGGAAGTAGATCTCCAGACATTTTAGAGATATTCTCCATGAGAGCTAATTCCATAGGAGCCCTGGGTGGACTTCCTGGCATCTGTGCCCAGGGCTTTTTAAAGAATGGACCAAAATGGACCCCAGAGTTGCATCAGGGCTAGGGGGGGTGTAGCTGTTGGGAGTCTTCCAGGAGAAAGGATACGGGGAATTTGGTGGCCTAGTACCTGAGGGTCTAGTTGCCCAGGTCAGCTCTCCAGTGGCAAGTAGTGGGGTGTTGATTATTTTCAGTGCCCAAGGCTTAGTGACCAGAGTCCTGCTCAATTGGCTGTGAGATTGTCCCTTCCCTATGGCCCTGCCCATTGCCCTCTAAAGGTTCTCTCTCTCTCTCTCTCTCTCACACACACACACACACACACACACACACACACTATGCTTTTTTCCCATCTGGTGCCCATCCTCCCTTTCTGCCTCTTGCTAGCTAACTTCCCTGTGTGACTGAGTTCTCAGGCTGTGTATAACAGGGACATGGTGGCCAGCCAAGATCAAAGAAATCAGAGGGATCCGTTAAATCCTGCTAGGAGATTGAGTGTCTTGGAATCCTGAAAGCAGGATGCCCCCAGCACAGTTGGCAGGAGAGGGCTGGCATAGGCAGGGCCTCGGCCTTGGCCCTGGCTTCTCTGTGCTGTGTGCCAGGCCCCTCTTCTCCTTGCAACCTCACAGGATAGTCGTGATGCCCATCGCCCGTGAGTTCTCTCCAGACCTGGTCCTGGTGTCTGCTGGGTTTGATGCTGCTGAGGGTCACCCAGCTCCACTGGGTGGCTATCATGTTTCTGCCAAATGTAAGGGGGCCCCAGCCAGCAGGGTGTGTAGGGAATGAGAGCCAGGCTGTATGGGATGGAGGGGGTGGGGGGATGCACTTCCCACATCTAAAGGGGAAGGTGGCAGTGGCCAGCCCAGGGCTGAGTGTGAAGACTGGAGTATGGCAGCTGGCCCTGGAATTCACTGGGATCTCCCAGCCTAGCATAGCCCAGATCCCTTCTCAGGACCAGGTCAGTTTACTATGGAGGCCTTGACTCTGGAGACTTACATCTAACAGATGGAAATTCAGCCAAAGAACTCCCCGCCCCAACTCTGGTTTCCAAGCAGGGCTGGCAGTTCCTCTAGAGGGAGGATGGGGAGGAGCAGTGTCCTGAGAACAGAGGGTACCCATGCAGCCTGATGGGTCATGGGCCCTGGGGACAGAGAAGAGGTGGTGTGGCTCAATGAAAAAGGCTCAGGCTGGAGTTGATGCCCCAGGTTCGAGCCCTAGCCCTGTGACTTACTGCCATAGGGTCTTGTGCAAGTCTCTTAATTGCTCTGAGCCTTGGATGAGGCAACGTTATAGGCTTTGTATGGGATTCCATGTGAAAGCACTTTGCCTTTGAGTCCTTATTTATGGAGGAAGCAAGCAGAGAAACATCAGACATGGAGAGTGGGTCCACCTCTCCTTCATCCCTGTTCCCTCCTATTTCTCCCCACTAACCAACCATCTAGGTTTTGGGTACATGACGCAGCAACTGATGAACCTGGCAGGAGGTGCAGTGGTGCTGGCCTTGGAGGGTGGCCATGACCTCACAGCCATCTGTGACGCCTCTGAGGCCTGTGTGGCTGCTCTTCTAGGCAACAAGGTGAGCTGCCCCTTGCTGCTATAGGACAGGTGAGCCAGCTCTCACAGGCCTGCTCTCAAGAGTAGGCAGACAGATAAGGCAGGGGAATGAGGTAGGCACAGTGGACACCTCTTTCCAAGTCAGATCTGGGGTCAGCATCTCCTGACTTGGGCAGAGCCAGGAGCACATACCTGTTTTTGTCCAGAAGGCGAGGGCCCTTCTGGAGAGAGCTGGGCCTGTAAGTCCTTGAGAGACTGGTGACTGGTGGACTGTTTTCTGTAGGTGGATCCCCTTTCAGAAGAAGGCTGGAAACAGAAACCCAACCTTAATGCAATCCGCTCTCTGGAAGCCGTGATCCGGGTGCACAGTGAGTGTGTGACAGGACACTTGCTGATCTCAAACCTGGGAGAAACTCAGCGATCTACTACCCCCAGGGGAAAGGATCCCAAGGATTCCAATGACTCTAGACACCAGAATCTTAGGGATTCCTGCAAAACACTCAGCAGTATTGGTGGGCAGCCTCCCATTAGCTCTCCAGATGGACCCAGCAGGGACCACCAGATAGTGACCTCCTCAAGGAGGGGACTGGCCTCACATCTCTCGCCACAGCCCTGCACCAGGGCCAGGCTGACAGCAACACTCAGGCCTTATTTGCTGAAAGGCTGGTTCCTATCCCTCCCCTTCAGTTCTGGCCATAGGGTTCTTGGGAGTTCTACATGCTTAGAGCTGGGGTTTTAGAATAACCCCCATATTTGGAAAGCACTTTAAAGTTTCAACTTCAACATAACATACGTTGAGCACTTCATGATCTATGCTAGGGATAAAAAAAATGAATAAAATAGAGTCCCCACATCAAGGACTTGGCCAAAGAGGTGTACAAAATAGTATAGACATGGCTGAGCCTTTGCGGAGCTTTCCTAAGTGCCAAAACTTTTCCTAAGTTTTTGTGCTAGACTGTTCCATGTCCAGTGTTGCTCACAGCTGTGGGCAGGATGAGCATTCCCATGTCCAGATAGGGCTGCCGTGTTCCCAAGTCCACACTCCCCTGTCCTGGGGGTGGGGCTGAGCACAGGTGGTGGTTGTATGAGACCTTGTGCTCCAGGAGGCCAGTACAGGGACATATGAGATAATTGACAGAGACCCCATCTAGTGGCAAGTGGGCCCTTCTCGTGCTTTCCAAGATCTCCATACATATGGGGAATGGTGGGAGGTAGCCTTTTAGTCAGTGGGGATGGGAAAGATTTGGGCAACTGCAAGGACACCTCATAGCCATGTTGAACCTGCTCTTCTCACCCTTCAGAGCTATGGAGGGAGGGGTGGGTTGGGGGAAGGGGCCAAGAAGAGAGCCAATACCAAGCTGAGGATTCATTCACTATTGGGCTTTCGGCCCAAGCCACTAGCATCATGTCTGATCTGGGATGCAGGGTGGGGGGACTGTTTTCCCCAACCTTTCTGACCTGGCTTCTTGTCTCAGGTAAATATTGGGGCTGCATGCAGCGCCTGGCCTCCTGTCCAGACTCCTGGGTGCCCAGAGTGCCAGGGGCCGATGCAGAAGAAGTAGAAGCTGTGACTGCGCTGGCGTCCCTCTCTGTGGGCCTCCTCACGGAGGAGAGGTAATGCCAGACCCCTGCTCCTGGTCCCATGGTCTCTTCACCCCCTCAGATCCTCCCAACTTGAAGACCCCAAAACCCCATGCAGCTACCCAACTACCAGGGTTGTGAGGGAAGCTCTGCTAAGGCTGTGCCTGAAGCCCTTGTCCCTCCCTCAGGCCCTCAGAACAGCTGGTGGAAGAGGAAGAACCTATGAATCTCTAAGACTTTGGAACACATCCGCTCACCCATTCTACCCTTCGGACATGGCTCTCCTAACTTCTGCCACCAGCCCTATTCCTGGGTCTTCTTAGATCCTGTGCACAGATTGTTGGGGCCAGAGAACAGCCTGCCTTGACAGTTACAGCATGGGTGCTTGAGAAGGCCTGAGGCTTGAGAAGATCAAGGCTTGAGAACTGCCTTGACGATTACTGCATGGGGACCAGAGAAGACCCTAAAAGCAGACAGGCTGTGCACCAGGCCCTAGCAGGGCTCTTATGAATGGAGTCTAACCCTCCTGTGTCTGGGCCCTCAGCTGTGGCCTCCATGCCTCAGGACTGCACAGAGGAGGACTGGCATAAGTGGGCCTGCCCTTAACCACTATTCTTGGCTCTCCAGACCCCAGACTTTGCACACAGTCCCAGGCTCCATGCAGAAATGTGAACTTGACCTCAGCTAGGGTGGCCCTTCCTAGGTTCTGTGGGCTGGAGGTGGGTGGCAAGGAGGCCCCTATCTTTGAGTGCAAAGGGAGTTCTGTCTCTCACCTACTTCCTCCAGTGCCTCTGGAAGCTTTCCTGCACCACTGGGCACTGAAAGCTCCTCTGAAAACTCTCTTGAGAGAAGTCACCTGCAGACCTCCCATTTGGTCACTGTCCCTGCCAGAGGCCACCCTATACCAACCATCTCAGTGCCCTGGTGGAGTAGACAGGTGCTGTCAGAGCCCTGTGCTTCCTGATCCAATGGTGCCAAACTTTCATCTCCCCTCAGAAGCACAACACAACCCCCAGGGATCCCTCAGTCACTGCCCTCCTTCATGAGCCTATTTCTGGGGTCTCTCCTGCCCCAGCTCTGACTTCTGCCCCATGTAGAACTGGCTTGGCTGAGGGGGAAGAGGGCAGGAGACTAGACACAGACTGCCCTGGCAAAATCTTCAAGGCTTTTGGGATCCCTGCCTGGGGCCAAGAAGGAAGTATTTGTGTATGTGTGAGTGTGTGTGTGTGTATGTGTGAGTGTGTGTGTGTGTGTGTGTGTGTTTGCGCGCACGCATGCACGCATGCGTGTGCATGCATGTCTTCCCCGGGACCCACCATACCTTGTGTATGTCTGCATGTTTTTGTAAAAAAGAAAAAAAAAAAAAGGAAAAAAAATCTGAACAATAAATGTTCTATTTGCTTTAAAGTACCTGTGAGAGGGTTCCTGGAGATGACTAGTGGCTGTCAGTGGGTAAGCACGTGGTACATGGCTCTAAAGCACAATGTGCATCTGATTCAGGCCAAGAAGGGGCACAGTTAGGTTGGGCTCAGCCTCCTCTCCAGCCCTTTGCCCTTACATGGCTACTGCCCTGCAGGAAGAAGCCCTCTGAACACACTGTAGCTGCCCCTGCTTTCTCCACCACAGGGTGAGAAAGAGGAAGCAGCCCTGGGTGGAAACATGGATCCAGGAACTAGGTAGGAGGAAGAGGGAGTGTGTTCAGACATAGCTAGCCAGTGCACCCCCAAAGGGTCCTGAAGCAGACACACCCAGGCTTGAGTCCCATCTGGGAGCTCAGCTGTCACATCACCTCCTGAGACCTCTGTTTATCAGTACAAGTCTCCAGAAGTAGCATTGTTTCTGGTTCCTTCCTGCTCTAATGTGCCCTGACTTCTTTAGCATATATGAGATGAGAAGAAAGAATGGGCGAGGCAACAGGCCAGGACAAGCCCATCCAGTGTAAGCAAAGGGAGGCGCCAGTGCCTGCCTTCCTGGCTTTGAGTCCACCATTCTTCCCAGCCTGGCCCCTAGCCCTGAGCAGCCTGGCAGGGGTGGAGGGAAGAAGTGCTCAACCCTTTCCCACCTGTCCTGGCTTGGGAGACACGGGTCCCTGAAGGGGCTGCTGAGGCTCTACCTTGGGCTTCCTTTCCCTGGCTGGGCATGCTAGGAAATGATTTACTCAGCTAGAGAAACCCTTCTACCACTCCCACAGCCCCCATGATTGCCTCCCAAGAACCAAGCAGAGACTGTTTGATATAAATGGCCGCTGTATTTCCGCTAAAGTGACAGTGACACAGATAAGGCAAAGAGCTGGGGGCAGTGGAGAAGGAGGAGACGTGCAAAATGGCAACCTAATATAAAAAAGATACATGTAACAGCCCCTTCCCTCCCAAGTTAGGTGAGCCCTTGGGCCAGTGTAGGGAGATTCAGGAGGGAGATTTAGAAAGATAAAAGCTCTAGTTGAAGGGCAGTGAGCAGGGGCTGGAGTTGGGGGAGAAGTTCTCATGGCTGGGGCTGGTCTGGTGCAATGAGGAACAGGTGGAATCACAAGGCCTAGGGCTCCTTTTCAGCCTGCACTGTGTTACCCACTTCCCAATACCCTTCTGGGGGTAGGAGTGTGATCCCCGTGGCCCTTAATTTAAACAGGCCTGCTCTGGGGTGTGTAGATGTGTGCATGTGACAGGGGGTGGAGGGGAGAATGGCTGTCTGGCCATAGTGTACTTTCAGAAGTCCAGCTCTGGGAGAAAGGGTGGGAAGAAGGTCACAGAACTCTCCACTCAACTCCCCAGGCTTTGGGGAAAGAGCCAAAAGTTGCCTATGACTGATGACTTCAGCTACCTGACCCTTGATGAATAACAGGTTAGGGTGCTGAGGTGGGAAGTGAGAGGTCTCCATTAGCGATTTCTCCCTTGATGTGACCTCACCAGGTTCCCACCCCAGCCTCAGGGAGAGGGCCTGGAGTGGCAGGGACCAAACCACCTGCCCCTAGCCCCTGGCACCAGGCATAGGTCAAGGCCTCACGGTCCTACCCTTGACCCTTTGACTTTGTTGCCCTGGTCCTACTTACAAAGATTGCTCACCAAGTGCTAAGAAAATAGATCCATTTGAAAAGGTCTAAAGCTGCCCTCCAGCCAGGCCGATGAGCTACCTGGCTGGACCTCCTTTCCACTGCACCCAGGTCTCCCCCCAAAGGGACCAGGCAGTTTCCCGGGAAACTGCACTCAAACTGCTATGTTCCTTTTGACACAGTTCTGGGTCCCCAGAGGGTGGGGGCAGGGCCTCCTGATGCCTCAAAGGCCAAGTCCAGGTCCTGAGGGCCCCCCCCCCCCCGGACCACAGTGACCTCACTCCCTGGGTCAGAAATCACTGAGGATGCTGATGTCGGCAAAGTCGGCCCTGTATCGGTGGGCGTAGAGGCTGAGCAAGAAGGCCCACTTGAAGGAAATGAAGCTCCAGACGCAGGAGAGGTAGTAGCTGGTTGGGTCTGTGGGGCCTGCAGAAGAGAAGAGCCCAATTGTGACTAGATGACTACTCCCCAGCTGGTCACCCTTCCCACTAAACATCCCTGTACCTCTTGCCACTCCAGTCCTATAGGAAGACTGAAGCGGGTAGGAAGTCTTAAGAGTTCTCCAGTGTTTGCAGGCAGGAAGCCATGGAGATGAGAGAAGGCCAGGACTGGCCAGTCACAGGTCTGTATCTGACACTCTGCTTTTGTATCATGTATGTATCCCAGGCCACTTGCAAGTTGTTTGTGCATCAGCCTGTAGAGGGGCAGGGGGCGGGGCCTCTGTCCACTTCCTGTTACAGCCACTAGAGGGCGCACCCTTCTCAGAGATGGGCCGAGACTAAATGGTGTCAATAACCATTCTGGAGGATACTTACATGGGCCATGCTCTATGCTCAACACTTCACACCTTCTCCCTCAGGGGCAGGGACTTTCATTCTCCTCACATTAAACATAAGAAAACCCAGGCATGGGGAGGTTAAGTGATTTGCCCAGTCCGTTGGATATAAATTGTGGAACCAAGATCGGAACCTCAGGGTCTACTCCTAGGCTTTCTCCATCCATACCCACCCTGCTCTCCCTGGGGGACCCTTACTCTGGTGCCGGGTAATGGCCAACGTGAGGAAGGTGCAGAAGGCAGCAATGGAGACGGCCGAGAAGAGAATGCCCACAAGGAAGAAGCCACGTAGTCCCTTAAGCCAGGTCCTCCAGTAATCCTGCATGTACATCACATGCGTCACCAGGACCCATAGCGCCAGCACACCTGGGGGACAAACTCTGTCAGAATGACCTGCGAACCTGCCCACCATGATGCAGCCCCCTCTCCTCACCCTACTCCAGCCCAGTGACTCCAGGATCCTAGGAGTCTTCCGTTTCACTAGGTCAGACCTATTTGCATAATACTGAAAGGACAGATCTTCGTGCTCTCACAACCCCATGACTGTGGAGTCTTCCCTGGAGTGTGACATCACAACTTTAATGCAGAAGTACATGAAACTCTTGCTGCTTTCTAAGAAGCCAGACAGTAAAGATATTTGTGAAAATATAAATCAATGCCATTCCTCTTTTTTTTTCAAACATGAGTATCTTTCTGAAAAATGTTTTTTAATATGACTTTAAAGTGCATAAAAACATTTGCTTTGATTTCCAATATGGTACATATCAATAGATAGAACTCACATAAAATTTGCTCTGAGTTTTACTTCAAGAGTTTTAAATAAAGGGATCTGAACACCAGAAAGTTTGAGAACTGTGGCAGTCCAGCCTGCTTTCTGAGCATTTCCCACTACTTACCCAGAGGCTACAGAGAGGGGTAAGGAGTCCCTCACCCCGCCCCATGCTCTTCCTGCATCTTGATCACCAAGGCTCAGGACCTATAGCAGAGCTCTTGGGCAGCAGGGATCTTCCCAGACTTTCTGCATTCCTAGAGGAAGTCCAGCCAGGAGGCTCCCAGGGCCACCTAGCACCCAAAAGACCTTCTTGATCTTGGCTAGGTCCATTTTTTTTTTTTTTTTTTTTTTTTTTCAGTTTGCAGCAAAGGGCAGGCCCAACACTCTGGAGCCTATCCTGGGCTTGCCCTCTGGCCTGGATGTCCTTCCAGTTTCCCTCAAGGAGGCCATCTGCTACTCAGCCAATACAATAGAACACAGCAAGCCTCTGTACCAGGCAGTGCCTGCTGGCATGACCCAAAGAGTGGAACAAATATCAATTCCACTGGCAAGGGTCCGGAGCAGGGCCATGGGGTCCTAGCAATGGAAGACAGAACCAGCTGCCAAGCACTCAGATGGCTGGCCCGAGAGAGTCAGCTGAGGCAGGAGACCTTTCAAACAGGGAGCAGCACGCATTTCATGCATAGCAGTCTCCTGCATGCGCACAGGAAAGCCAGGCATCTGACTGGGAAAGTGATTATCTCTAGCTGATACTTCATTTCTTAGGCTGGGTGGGGAGTGTAATGGTGTTTATTAAATGAGCTATCCTTTTTTATGTGCCTGAAATATTTCACATTTTTTTTTAAGTTAGAGGAGAAAGGCAGGGCAAAGCTAGTTATCCTGGAGCTATGCTGTGGTAACCAATTCAGCTGTCTGTCAAGATTTGGGCAGCCTAGTGAGGGATAAAACTCTATGAGACTGCAAGCCAAGAAAACTGGGGCCTGGTGCTCTAGTGCCCCAGAGCTTCGGTATTCCCACTTCTAAAAATGGGTAAACCCTGTGGTCCTGCCAGTTTGGATAAAAGGGGGGCCCCAGGGTTCCACCGTAGGAGGGTGGAGACCCACCTACTCTGCAGCTTCCCCTCCCACCCTGTTGACTCAATAAACTTTCAGTGCTGCCCCTGTCTACCTTCAACCTTCTCCAGGGTTGGGGGCCTGGAACATGGCCTTCTCCACCCCTGAGATCAAGGTGGACCACGATCAGCAGCTCTCCATCCTGCCTACACAGGAGGCTGGATAGGCTTGCAATAGATAGAATAATAATCCATGGCTTTGGCTTCATCCTACGTGATTGGATTTCTGGCAGCCATCTGTCCCAGAAGTCTCTCTGGCTCCTCGCACAGACACCCAAAGGCCTCATTTGGGGAAGCTCTTTGGTTTCTCTAAGGGCCCCAGGGATGAGGCGTGTTGACACTAAGCACATTCAAAAAGTATCAGAAGGGCACCCCTGTGTAACAGGCCCATATATCCTCTCTCCTCATGCCATGCAGGCAATAGATGAGCTCTAATACCCTTTCCCACTAGAAAATTCTGGAAGTCAGCTTAAGGAGGAAATAAGGAGGTCAGAGCAAATCCTCTGTGACTCAGCAATTTCTGGGTTAGAAAATGCTGAAGTAGGGAACTGTGAGGATGCCATCTCTTAGTTCACTGACCATGACCAGCAGGTCGCTGCAAAGTCCTACCCCTTATATACCAAAAAGGGCAGACAGCAGGAAGAAAAGGAAGATGGCTGTTTTGGGGTGTTCTTTGTTAATAAGCACGCACAACTTTATCCACATGCCATCTCCCCTCAACCCTGCTCCAGCCCTGCATACAGACCCTCCGCAGATAAGCACATGCTGATCCTGGAGGCAGGCCCGTTCCCACCCACCCTGGCTCTCACTTTTTTTTTTTTTTTATGGGGGGTTACTGGGGATTGAGCTCAGGGGTACTCAACCACTGAGCCGCATCCCCAGGTGTGTTTTGTATTTTATTTAGAGACAGGGTCTTACTGAGTTGCTTAGTGCCTCGTTATTGCTGAGGCTGGCTTTAAACCCATGATCCTCCTGTCTCAGCCTCCTGAGGTGCTGGGATTGCAGGCATTCACCACTGTGCCCCGCCTCACCACCCTTCTTTTGAAGAAAGACTATCCCCATCAAGTCTCCCTGAGTGGTCCTCAAAAGATAGTGTCCCTCCCTGGTCCCCTCTCAGGCAGGAGGCACCTCCACCCTGCACGCTTCCCTAGGATACTCTGGGACCACAGAGAGCCTCATCTGCACAAGTCAGGGAAGATTTGGGATAAGTCCCCAACCCCACATGAGTGCAAGCCCTTGGGAGACATGACTCTTATTCCTGCCTGGCCCCTGGGCTCACAGGGGTGTTCAGTGAAAGTATCCCCAGTTTCAGGGCTGGAGGTGAGGACCCAGGAGACATCAAGGAAGGTCATAGGTACACTCAGACAGGTAGGACATGACCAGGGTCAGGGCCTGTTTACGCACTCTCTCCTTGCCCTGGGGAGAAAAGAGGCCCAGAGCCCAGGGCTCCTCTCACTCAGGTCAAGTGGGAAGCACACCAGCTGTTTTAGATCCCTGTGGCAAATTTTTTCCTTTCTTTTCACTTGGTCCAGCAGACCTCGGGCAAGCACCAGTGTGTTTCCCTGGGGTTTATACAGCAAAGCAGGAGCAGGTGAGTCCAACAGCCTCTCCAGGAAAACAGCATCAGTGTCTCCCCATCCCCAAACCCTCTGCCCACTAGGCCCAAAAGCTGGCATGCCCAATCAGCCCCGCCTGGCCCAGCACAGGTCAGAGAACCCTGAGGCTGCTCTCCAGTGACTCAGCAACTTTTTGGGCCACAAAACATCAAGTCAGAAGTGGAGTACATCCAGTCAGAAACCCGCTGACACTTCACCCCAAAAGAGGAAGAAGGCTGGCTAGCTGCAGACCTCTCAGAACCCACTCAGGGTGGGGAAGGTGTGGCCTCCACCCCTCTATCAGCCTCTGCAGCTGTCATCAAGCAGTTTGGCTCTTATGTGGCCACCTTTGGTTGTCAAAGTTCTGACTGCCAGGGAGACGGACCCTACTCCAGCTACTGCTGCCCTGGCGCCCTTCCCTGAACGCAGCTCCACACCTGCCTCGGAGGCCCAGTGAAGCCTGGGGTGAGGGAGAGAGCAGCGGTTGGGTCAGAAGGAAACCCTGGGCGACTCCCTGTGGAGTAAGATAGAGTCTTTTCCACAGCTGGGAGATGAAAGCTTCAGGGAGGGGACAGCAGCATTGTACCATTTTAGACCTAGAAGGGAGTCAGATATGTATTTCAGTGGCATCTCCTCCCACTCCTCCCATATGAGGAAACCCAGGCCCAGGAGGCATTGACATCCCAAGGTCACATGGCTAGATAGGGCTCACCTCCACTTTCACAGGCCAAACCCTCAACACACTCAGCTTGGATCCCTGGAATGGTCCTCCCTCCTTCTGCCAAACATTCTGCTTATCTGAGGTCTCAGCAACACAGTCATTGGGGGCTGGCAGAGCCTTCTAAAGGAGAGATCAGCAGGACCAATAGGAAATATGGGGAGGAGGTGGGGGAGGGAGAGAGGAGCCAGGGTTTTGTGGATAACTGAGGGACAGGACCCCTTAGGTAGGGTATCCAGATAGGCATGTGAACATCCCTGCCAGGGAATCCACCTGCCCCTTCCTGGTGACCCCAGTGCCTTGCTTGCCATGGCCTAGGCCTGACAACATATGACCCTCTTATAAAAAATGTTCCTTCTCTACCCAAGGATCGCGCTCAGTGAAAGCTCAGTGGTAGTGAGTAAATTATTATTTTTAGTTATTCCATTTAAAGACTTTGGCAGAGGATTTTCATAATGGAATAAGTTCATCATATGTAAAAGTATTATCCTGTGTGTACGTTTTTCCAGAGTCCTTTTCCCACACGTATTATTTCATGTAACTGTTATAACATTAGTTAAGAGATTTACTCTAAGCCTGTTTTCTTATCTGTAAAATGGGTATAACACTAAAGCTTCATCATTGGACAAATGTAAGGATTAGATGAGATTATGGAGTTAGACTGCTTAACAATGCCTGGCACAAAGAAAGCATCAAAAAAATGTTAGCAAATAGAAATAATATTTTTCATTTTCACACCAATTCTGTGACACAGAGAGATTAAATCACATGCCCAAAGTTGCACAGTTAAGAACAGAGCAGTGTTGAGCACAGGGCCTCTACCAGCACATTGATAGCCTGAGACACAAAAAAATGGGGTCTGCAGGGGTTTGGCAGACCTTGGCCAAGGAACCCACAAGCGGTGGCAAAGAGGCACCAATGTGGGTGGAAAGAAAATGTCCAGTTAGCATCAGATCCCTAAAACAGTACTCTTGCTCTCCGCTGAGCTGGGGCTCTGCTGGGTTGGGGATCCACACTGGAAAGAAGCAGAGCTTCCCCAGGAACGCGCGTCCTCGCCCAGCCCTCTTCCTTTCCCACTTATTATAAAGAGCGCAGGAGCAGCGAGGATCCTCCAGGATGAGTGTCTGTGTGCTGCGGGGCAAGGGGTCTTCCCATTCAGCGGTGGAAGGCAGTGGCCAGCCAAGCCCGGCGCGCAAAGAACGCTGTCGTGGGGCAACTGGGAGGAGAGCTGACGGGTAGGGAGCAGGATCGTGCCATCGGCAGGGGTGGGCCATTGGCACCCCCGGGTTGCGCCGGCTTGGCGGACATCGGGTCCCGGAGGCACCAGAGATGCCCGGGAGCCCGGGCCGCACGGGGCCTGCGCTGCCAACGGCAGCTTTTGGGTAAACACCCTGCCAGCTCCTGTGGCGGCGGCTGCCATCGAGGAGGAGCCGCGGAGAGCCGCTGACAGCGCCCGCCCTGCCCCGAGTCGGGGCCCGCGCCCCCCGCGCGTCCCCCCAAGCGCCCCCGGGGTACCTGCGAGACCCCCCATCGCCGCAGTTCCTGGCTCTCTGTAGACCACCGTCCAGACCAGGAAGATGGAGAAGCCGGCCACCGAGCTGATGCCCGAGTAGGCGGCACGGAGGCCAAGCTGCAGCCGGGACGGGGCCATGGGGCTGCGGCGCCAGGAGGACCGAGCGCGAACGTGGCCGAGTCACAGGTGCAGGGTCCGGAGCCCCAGCCGGAGCCCGAGCCACGGGCACCCGGCGCTCCGCCCCAGCCCGCCCCCGGCGCCGCCGGCACAGCGCCCTCCCTGGCCGGAGGCCGCCCGCGCCGCGATCGGCGACCGCATCACCCCGGATTTGACAAACCACCTGATCGCTTGGGGATGTCTGCTGGAAGGGCAGGTTCCTCGGCTCATTCCCAGACAGAGCTACCGAGTTAGGATAGTTGGGCCTTGGCGGCGCCCAATATGCCTTTGAACAAACCAGCTTCGGTGATTACGTTTTAAATTAAAAATATCTCTGAATAGGAGGTGCATTCTCATTTAAAGTTTAAGACGGCAGTTTCTCGTTAAGAATTAATGTATACAGAGCCGGTTGTGGTGGTACATGCCTGTAATCCCAGCAACTAGGGAGGCTGAGGCAGCTTCAGCAATTTAGTGAGTTCCTGTCTCAAAAATAACGAACAAACTTACTAACTAACTAACTAAGTAACTAAATAGCTGGGGGTGTAACTAAGTGGTAGAGCACTCGCCTAGCATGCAAGGCTCTGGGTTCCATTCCCAGCATATATGTGTTATGAGTGTGTATGTACACACTCACACACACACACACACACACACACACACACACACACATCTGGGGGTAGTGCTGGGATTTACATATGGAAGTCTGGGTTGCAGCTCAGTGGTAGAGCTCAGTGTGTGAGACCCTGGGTTCAATAATCTACACTCCCCCCCCCCCCCCCCGCAAAAAAAAAAAAGAAAGAAAAAGAAAAATTAGTGAATATAGTAGTAATTTATCCCACCCACATTCCTATCAACCAATCCCTTCCCACAGACTTTTTGTACATTTCAGAAGATTCCTCCACACACCAAAGTCACCTTTTAACCCCAAACACATTATCTTCACTTAAGTTCCCCTTTCCTTTTGTCTTCACAATTCTCATCCTCCAAATCCCACTAAACATCCCCCAACACTTGGAATCAGAGGATGCCGGAGTAGAGCCTGAATCTGCAGCAGTATCCTGATCTCTCACTGTGGGCCCAGCTCATGCTGGGAGCTGGCGGGAGAGTCAAAGCTTAACCAGGGCTGGGCCATGGAATACTTGAAGTCTACTTGGGGAGGCTCATCACAGACCTGCACAAAATAGGTAACCAGTACTCCTTGGCCTCATTTCCTCTTGCTGCTTTAACAGATTACCACAGATATAGTGGCTTAAAACAACACAAACTTTTATCATCCTGTAGGCTAGAAATACAAATAGGAGTCTCACTGGACTAAAATCAAGGGACTGTCAGGTTGCCTTACTTCTGGAGGCCCTGGGGGAGAATCTGTTTCCTTGCCTTCAGCAGCTTCTGGAGGCTGCCCACGGGCCTTGACTTGGGGCTGTCTTCTTCCCACCTTTCCTTGTGATTGAGGACCCCAGTAATCCAGGAAAAGCTCCACATCTCAAGATCCTTAACTTTATCATATTAACAAAATCCCTTTGCCAGTTAAGATAACACATTCCCAGGTTGTGGGGATCAGAATGTTGACATCTTGGGGGAGCCATTATTCTGCTTACCATATCTTTCTGGAATGTAAATTCCATGAGCGAGGACGATGCTAGTTTCATCCACCCCCAACACCTACAAGAATGTCTGGCACATAATAATCCCTTAATAAACATTTGTTGAATAGGTGAGTATGAGTGAATAAAGAATTAAATAATAATAAAGGGGATTACACACAGGGAACCTAGTTGGACATGCTTAATTGTCAAATGAGTGATATAAACTAGTGAAAATTACCTTTGCATTACTTCAGATTAATTTGAAGATTGTCTTTAAAAATAATAATAAAAAAAAAATTAGCCAGGCATGGTGGCATACACCTGTAATCCCAGTAACTCCAGAGGCTGAAGCAGAAGGATCACAAGTTCAAAGCCAGCCTCAGCAATTTAGCAAGGCCCAAAGTAACTTAACAAGGCACTATCTCAAAATAAAATATAAAAAGGGCTGGGGATGTGGCTCAGTTATTAAGTCTCCCTGGGTTCGATTCCTGGATACCAAAAATAAATAAATAGAATAAATCAAAAAATAAAAACATTAAGTCCAAATCCTATTTCTGCCTATTACGTATTGATTCTGAGAGTGTATTTTTTTTTAAATAAGAAGCTATTTTAAGGCAACAAGCTGAGCACTCAGCGCTCCTTTAGGAGCTACTGGTTGTTCAGAAGTGAGGGTGAACTCCATCGTCCAGAGCACATTGCATGGATGGATGCCTTCTGAGCTGGCCAGGATGGACAACAATATAGGCAAAAAGAACAGCACATGTGATGACCTCCCAGAGGGAAGGAATAACAGGGCAGGTTCAGGAACTATCAGAAAGTATGTGGCTAGACACTCAGGTTTCCAGTGGTGGGTTTGAGATTAGAAAGGCTCTTGTTTGGCCTCTGCCCCTGCCTTCCCCCCAACCCCCAACACCTACAAGAATGTCTGGCACATAATAATCCCTTAATAAACATTTGTTGAATAAGTGAGTATGAGTGAACAGAGATCAAACCCAGGGCTGGGTTGGATGTGGTAGTGGAGGGAGTAACAACTCTGTGCTTTAGAAATACTGAAGAGAGTAACAGTGCGAGGGCAGAGTACCCAGAAAAGACTAGATGCAGAGGGCAGTAGGACACCTGATCAACTCCTGGTGCACAAGTTACTGCATTTCTTAGATGAAGACAGCTGTGATATCTCCTCAAGTTGTTGTGACGAGGAGTGGGTGCTGAGAAGACTGCCTTGCACATCAGAGGTACTTGACAAAAGCCAGAAAGTGTAATTAGTAGTAGCAGAAGGCTGTCATATCAAGAGGTGACAAGGGGCCTCAGAATTGATTAGGTGGAGGTGGAGAGAAGGGAGAGAGGGAGCCAATTCCAGAAACACTTAAGCTATTTGAACCTAAAGGTCAGGCAGGAATTCATTAGCTGGGCCAACAGAAAGGAGGACAGCAAAAATATTGAGTGGACATAGTAGGAGTATCAGAGGGCAGTGAGAGAGCAAACGAGCTGGAGAGTGAGATTGTGCAAGAAAAAAGACAATTATGTAACAGTAGTTTAGGCTCAGGTTGTACATGATCAATTTTGTATTTTAGATTTTTTTTTTTTAAATTGTGGAAACAGAAAGCAGCTATTAAAAGGCTTGAGATTCAAATGGGATCAGAGGCCCATTTTCACCATTTACTGTATGACCCTGGACAGATTTCCCTAACTCAGAGCTGCCCAGTGGAACTTTCTGCCACAAAGGAAACAGTTTATATCTGCATTCTACACTAGTCACATGCGGCTACTGAGTGCATGATATGTGGCTAATGTGACTGTGGAGCTAATTTTTTTTATTGCAATTATTATTATTATTATTATTATTATTATTATTTTGGGTACTGGGGCTTGAACTCAGGGGCACTCAACCACTGAGCCACACCCCCAGCCCTATTTTGTATTTTATTTAGAGACAGGGTCTCACTGAGTTGCTAAACACTTTGCCATTGTTGAGGCTGGTTTTGAACTTGAGATCCGCCTGTCTCAGCCTCCCACGCCACTGGGATTACAGGTGTGTGCCACCACACCTGGCTCAACAAATTATTAATGCTGTTGTTGAAATTGTTTATTGTCAATATTGAAATGCATACCAGGAATAAGCAATGTCTTCAGAAGATTAGCTAGACTGTGACATCCTGGTTAGATTTGATGGGAAAAGAAGATTATAGAGGAGAGAGCCTTTATAAGGCCATTTGGGATAATTAAGATCTTATCTGGAGAGAGACCATGGGAATGGGAAAGAATGGACTGTGGAGCTATCACACATACGAGTCTTCTCACATCAACTTCCTTTCCTAAGAGCACACACCTATCCCATCCCAGGGTAGATATCCCTGCATCCCCTACATGACAGCAACTGTCCCTGTCTGTAGCAGAGACCATTAATACTCACCAATATCTGTGGATCTCTTCTGGGCATGTGACCTACTAAATTTGAACTCCACTTCCAAGCCTCCTTGTAGTTGAATGGATGCCACAGGACTGAGCTCTGAGAAATAGAATGAAGGCAGAAGCAATATGTGCCATTTCCAGCTGGATTCATGACAATTTCCCTTATGTCCTGCAGTCCCTCTTTTCAATGTGTGATGATTTTAAAGAGGCCATATGTTGAAGATGGTGGTAGCACAGGATGGAAAGAGTCTAAGAGCCCTGAATAAACAAATGAATGGAGCGGAACCACCCCCTTTCATTCCCTAGAACCGCACTGAACTGTAACTTGAATGAGTAATGAACTTCTGTTGTGTTAAGCCCCTGTGATTTGGGTGTTGTTTATTACAGCTAACTTGTTATCCTATAATATTATCCCTCATTCCATTTCAAGTCATCTAAACAGGTTCTATATAGATTAACTGAATCGGCAATCCTTCTGAAGTCACTTTTGAATTGGGCTTCACCAGCTGGGCATGGTAGTGCACCCCTGTAATCCCAGCAGCTCAGGAGGCTGAGGCAGGAGGATCTCAAGTTCAAAGCCAGCTGCAGTAACAGCCAGGTGAGGCGCTAAGCAACTCAGTGAGACCCTGTCTCTAAATAAAATGCAAAAAAGGGCTGGGAATACGACTCTACGGTTGAGTGCCGCTGAGTTCAACCCTCGGTACCCCATCCCACAAAAAAAAAAAAAAAAAAAAAAAGAGTTGAATTGGGCCTCACCAATATTAACACAGAATTTTTTTTTTTTTAAATAGTGGTGGAGATGGAACCTAGGGCTTTGTGCATGCTAGGCAGACACTTCTACCACTGAGCTATGTCCTCATCCCATTAAAACAGATTTCTAACTCCCATTTGCAGACATTCTGCCTCCTAAGAAATTCCTTCCTCACTCCCCACAAAAAAAGCCACATTCCAAACATCTATCTTCTCCCCTAGTGTTACGTCAAGGACACCTGCCCTGAGCTATCTTCTTGTTGATTGAGTTTATTTGACTTGTCAGAACTTCCCCCTCTCTCTTCCTTCATACCACACAGAAGGACTGCTGATGTCCCCTGAGGCATGTCCTTATTCACCATGACCACAGGTTCAAACCAGGCTCCATCCCTGAGTCCTCCCATTCCTTCACATGCCGCATCCAATGCCCTGGTAAATCCAGATGATCTTCCCTGTCCTTTTTCTCTATACCCACTGCCAACTTCATCCAGTCACATCATCACCTGCCCACTTGCAACAGCCTCCTACCTGGTCCTTCTGCTCATTCCCTCCCCTCCAGTTCCATCTCACCCAGAAGCTGGCCTGATCTTTTGAAAATTACATTCAGAACATGGAACTCCCCTGCTTCCATTCCTGAAGAGCTTCCCTTAGCTCTTAGTGAAAACTGGTCACCATCTTGCCCACTCCAACCAGCCTCACCCTGCTTTTCACTTCAGGCACACAAATGTGCCACACTTGTTCCTGCATCAGGCTCTTTGTACTTTGTGTCTGGAAAGCTCTTCTCTGAGGGCTTATAAGATTGGTCTCTCATCATTCAAGTCTCAGCTCAAAGGTTCCCCCCTAAAGAGGCCATCCTTGTTCTCTCTCCACAGCACTCACCACTCTGTGAAACTGTCTTGGGAATTTATCCTTTCCACCCAGCCCACCATCTGCATCAGATTGCAACCTCCTTGAAAGCTTTTCCAGTTTTACCATGAAAATCTCATATCTCAGGAAATCCCTCATTCTAAGGCAAATCGTTATGGTTAGTCCCCATGTGGCCTGCCTTAATCACTTCTGTAGTTCGAGTACTAAGGATGTCAGGGTGGATGCGTAGGTAGATAATCCAATAAATATCCCTGCAATAAATAATGGCAGGCAGTCCATAAAAATTCTTTGATCCTGTCTCTAGGGGGCAGCATTTCCTAACCTTGTGCCTTCAAACTCAGCTGTGCAGGCTGGGCTAAAATCTGTGTAAATTTAGCTAATAAGTTCCACAATATTCTCCCTACACCTTACCTGGTCATTGGTCCTTCCCCAACCCTTGTAGAGTTCAAGGCAGAGTAGCCTGGATGTGGTGGCCTGAGGCTATGCCTGACTCATAGGTAGAGCCTCCTCCCAGCCGATCTTCTCCCCTTCTGCATGTTCATCTTCCTCCTGAGGTCAGAACTGTAGGCCACAGAGCAGAAAGGACTGTCCCAGAGGGAAGCAGCAGTTGGATGGCTGCAGGGAATCCTCCATCACCATGCATCTCAGCTTCTGAGGCTGCAGGAAGAACCCAGATCTAGGGGTTACCTTGGCCCCAGAATGTGCCTCCCCAGAACTAGGGTTGCCTTCTGCCCCTAAAAGGGGATTTCCTCACTTCTCAGGGATAGAGTGAAACTGTTGGGAGTCTGGTTTCTTGCTGAGCTCCCACTTCCTCTGCCTGTCCACTGACAGCCTAGGGTCCATGAAGAGGGTATGATGCTGAGTATAAAGATGCTGGGCAGAGGCAACAGGTCTTTGAGCAACAGCTAGAAGAGTATCAGAGGGAAGGGGATACTATCACAGTCGTAGTTACAGCCTAGGGAGAGCAGCTTGAAGAAGCTAGGGCCCAGACCTGCACCCTCTCTCCTGGAGTTCTGTGGGGAACCTTCTTCTCCTGGCCTGAATCTTCCAATCATAGGTTCACCTGTCATCCAGTTCTCTTCCTCCCTCACTGGGTGGTTGTTGCTGGATGGGGAAAGGAGGGGACAGGAAGAGCTGGCAGTTCACTTCAGCAAGGACTTGAGCCTGGGGCAGGTGACTCCTTGGAGGCGACAAGGGGGTGAAGAAAGGCAGGCTACACACCAAGGTGTGAGTGTAGGAGGGAACAATATTAACTCTTTCCAAAGGGCAAAGCCTGGCACAGGGGTTAATAAATGTTGGCTTTTAGATGAGAATTTGGGTTGGGGTTTATTGAATGAGAAAGTCATTGCAGGGGCTTCCTCAGTATAGGTTGATACCCTTGGAGTCCAGTTGCTAGGGCACTGGGTGAAATAAAAGACTAGCAATAGCCAGGTGTCGTGGTGCACGCCTGCAATCCCAGTGGCTCGGGAAGCTGAGACAGGAGGAACACGAATTCAAAGCCAGCCTTAGCAACAGGAGGCACTAAGCAACTCAGTGAGACCCTGTCTCTAAATAAAATACAAAATAGGGCTGGGGATGTGGCTCAGTGGGTGAGTGCCCCTGAGTTCAATCTGTGGTACCAAAAAGAAAAAAAAAAAAAAAGACTAGCAATAAGGCATCACCTTATTGCTACATCATCCAAGAACAGCACCCCAGAGGTATAGTTCAGGTGGCCACACCTCATGGTACTTCCTGGAGGAGGAAGGGATGGACCAGTGATAGCTTAAGGCAGTACAAGAAATGGAGATAGGCCAAGAAGTGGGTGGAAAAATAGCAGGAAGAAAGACAGGTCTTGAGGGAGCCACCAGGGAGGTAAGAAAGACCTGTGGCAGGAGAGGGGAAATCTGTTGACCTATAATTCAGGAAACCTTACCTGCAGACTTCAACGTACAAAGGCAATGACCAATCAGGTATGTAACCTCAAGCAAAGCAGAGCTGGTTTCTGCCTGCTGGCTGCTTACATTCTCAGAAAGGATTTGCTAGATGATAGTGCACAAGCATTTAATTTCAGTGTGGTGAGTGCCAGACATGAGGCAGGGAAATAGGACCCTGTGGGGGAATTGTGACACAGGCTTGGCCTTGTATGGGGAGAGGAGCCAGGCTGGCTACTGCTGCTTAGCTCTCAGGCCCAGCAGAGCCCTCCACTAAGGCCAGGTCTGGGCAGAACTGGAGCAGGCAGGGAAGGTTAGACCAGGATTCAGGCCACCCCTGCAGTGCCTAAGTGGGGCACATAGACCAGATTCTCCACTTCCACTGGAGGTGAAGGCCCTGAGGAGAAGGGTAGAGGCTGGGGATCAGGAAGGATTTCCTTTCCCCCCTGGGTCAGAAGTCTAAGCAGCTAGGGCTGCCTCTCCATCCCAAGACAAAGACTGAAAGAGTGGCCTAGGTCTCTCTCAGTCAGAACTGTAGATTTACTTCCCCTCCTGAATCTGCTTCCCTCTTTGGGCCACTATTTTTTGTTTCCCTCTCTAGATCCACATTCTTTTTTTTTTTTTTTTTGTGGTGCTGGAGATTATACATGAGGCCTTGTGCATGCATGGCAAGCGCTCTACCAACTGAGCTCTATCCCCAGCCCCCCTGTTCCCATTCTTTGCACTCTCCCCTGATCTTTCACAAGGTCCTCTCTGGAAGGAAGAAACAGGCAGCGAGTCTGGTGCCAGGAAGTCTTTGGACTGCGCAGCTTCCTCTCTGGCCTCAGCAATTCCCAAGTGGGATTTGGGGATGGGATTGGGGTCTGCTGTGATGCTAGGAAGGGATCCTTATTCCTGGCCTGATTGCCTGATAATCATGTCCTTTCCCCACACCTCCACCAGTGCTCTGGATATAGAGAGAGTGACCCACAGATCCTGGAAGACAGAACTGGGTATCTCATGAGCTTGGGCCAGGACCCTACTGGGATCCCTCCCCCAGGCTCCTGTGGCCATCTCTGCCATGACTCTGAAATTAGAAGGCCAGGAGGGTGCAGAATTTGCATCCTGAACAGATGCTGCTGGCCCAGGATGGATTGGAGGGTAGAAGTGCTTGAGTGCAGTGCTGGGGGAAGAGGGGATCCTTGTAAAGAGTTAGTTGGTAACACAGGTAGTACATCAGCTGCAGGAGAGGCTGGGGACTGGTATAGGCTGGGGAAGGGCATGGAAGGCTAGGAGTGAGTGTAAGGGACAGTGGCCGTAGCTGGAATGAAGTAGCTGTTTCAGAGAACTGACCACTCAAGGTCAGTTGCAGTGGCTCCTGGGTACTTGGGAGACACACACACACACACACACACACACACACACACACACACACACACGTACTACTTGAGAAGCAAAAGCTGGGAAGAGAAAGTGGTGATTAATATCTGCACCTTCACATAACACCAAATTTGCATAGGGGGTAGGCCTGCTCCCCCTTTTGGGCACCTCCAGACCTGGTCCTCTTTCCTGCTCTCCTGCTTTCTCCCGCCCTCCAGCCACCACCATAACCACCATAGATCTATTCAGCGATTGTATCCTTGCCCCTGTCATACATGGGTAGCTTGCATACCAGCCAGAAGAATGCGTCTACAGGAAAGTGGCTTCTTGTACTGCCTCCCCACTCTGGCCTCAGCAAACTCCCAGCTGGCCCTCAACCCTCACCATGAGCCCCAGCCTGCCCACTCCCCCACCAAGAAAAGGCAGGAACCCAGGTTCCTTTGCTACTGATCACTGTCACCAGTGGCTTGTGAGTGGCTGGCTGTGGCCTGTTATCCCTAGGAAGGTTTGGCTTGATGCCCATCAACACCTGCTCCCTGCCTTTGCTCCCCACCCCAGGAATGAGCAGGGGAGGAGATGAAGTGAACCGGAACCTGGGCAAAAGTCAGAGCGCTTTAGACCAGGTCGCCAGGAGGTAGAGTCCAGATGAGGATACCTGGCTTCTCATCTCAGTTTCTCCCCATCATTGTTCAACCCTGGTCAAGAGGGAAGGTTAGGGATAAGGGGGAAAGGCTGGCAGCAGGTCTTTCATCCTCTATCTCCAAACTCACTCTTTGCAGTCCCACCAGAGGCCTATTAGTTAAAGCTTCCCCCAACCTCTCTCTCCATCCCAGCAACCAACCTCAAATGACTCGTCTGAACCTTGTGAGCAAAGTCTGCAGCACAGGACAGAAAGAGAAAAGAATAGGAGGCAAGGAAGTAGCAAGGAATGAGGGAGATGGAGGGAAACAGCTTGAAAATGAACTGGAAAACTAGTCCTTCTCCCTTCTCCACGGCCTGTCTGTAGGCCCACCAAGGCACCAGCTGACTTTCGTGGCTCCTCTTCATTTCATTCCACTCATAGCAGTGAAACACCTATTTTATGCAAGACGCTCTACTGGGGAGGGAGATTGGTGTGTTACTGGGATAAAGATAATTCCTTTAGGCTCTATGCTCCTGAAACTTCAGGATGGGATCTTCCTGCCCAGTTTTTCAGCAGAGTTCCTGGCACCTACAGTAAATATTGTTGAATAGATTAAAGATTCTTTAGAGATGCTGTGGTGTGGCATGGGAATGACTGGGGGAGGCAAGATTGAGAGTAGCAATCAGGGATGAAAGTGGGAGAGGTTGTGGTACAAAATTGTGGTGAAGTACATGACTATGCAGTCAGATTCCCTGAGTGTGACTCTACTGCTTACTAGTTGTGTGACTTTGGGCAGGTTACTTCACTGCTTTGTGCCTTAGTTTCCTCACTTGCAAATAAGTTGTTCTGAGGATAAAAAGGTGTCCACAAAGTACCTCAGAGTAACACAGCAGGCTGTAGATAGAAAGTGCTGGAAGAGACCACAACTGGACTATAGCACTTTCAGTGGAAAACGGCACAATAGAGGTACCCAAGAGACGTTCCATTGGTTGAATCAACCAGGCTTAGCACCTGATTAGATGTGGGAGGAGGGACAGGCCATCAGGTTCTTTGCTTAGGCAGTGGGGGTCTCCAAGAGCTAAGAGAAGTGAGGCAGGTGGAGGGGGCCTTGGGCCCGAAGGGAGTTCTGGACAAATGGAGTTAAAGGCTCCTGTGGAAATCCAGGAAGTTATGGGTTTAATGTGTGTAGAGCTGAGCGAAGAGGCCAAGGTGGGAGAAATGTAGTCCAGAGTCAAAGCCAGGGTCCTGTTAGTCCTCCTCCTCATTCCATTCTCTTGACTATTCCATGGGCCCTTGTCACTTGCCTGAAGGGATAGGAAGGGGTTGAGGACAGTCATGCTCTGACAGGAGCTCACTGCATGGACAAACTGTGTGTGTGTGGGGGGGGCGTGTTGTATAGCTTCCACTATCTGCTTATTCATCTCCTACCTGTGGAGCTAGTACACTCAGGGGTGGAGACATTATCCATTTGTGGGCTTGTCTCTGTAGGAGCTGTCAGAATGTTTCTGAAGTAGCACTATAAAGTGGTAAAGCACACAGACTCAAAACCACTTGGTTAGAATCACTCACTGCTCCATTACTTCCATGGGGCAGGTCATTTAATCTCTTTGAGGCTCAGCTTCCCCATCTGTAAATTGGGATCACAATAATACCTATCACATTTGGTTGTGACAATTAAATCCGTGAATGCATAGAAAGTATCAAGAACAGGGCCTGGCAAATGTTACTAGTGTTATTATTTCTTTTCTGTCTAACACACCTGCCAGACATTTAATGACAGTCAGCGTAGGGTGGAGGCTACACTAGGACATGGTATGATGGTCCCCAAGATGATTTACCATCTGACTTGGATGTCTTTCTCAGACATATTTCCCAGTCTCTTGCTTTTCTCCAGGTCTCAGCCTCAATCAAATATCGACTGAGCAATAACTCCATTGTCCAGTCCTCATGCAGAGAAGGAAAGCCCTGCCCCATCACCTGCCTTGGCAGGAGGCTGGGGGCCTTGCCTGCTGCAAGAAAAGTGACACAAATGGGAGGTTCAATCCCTATGGTGTCCCCAGGCCACCTGAGTACTCAAGCCATCTTCTAAGTCTCCCAGGAGAGAGGACTGTGTGTGTGTGTGTGCGTGTGTGTGTATGTGTGTAGGTTTGGAACAGTTTCATTTTTATCTGTTTGAATGGTTTTCTTCAGATGCTTGTCCCCAGCCAGGCCTCCCTGCCATGCACACGTTCCATTTACCATTCTTTAGCATCCTCTCCTAGGCAGTAAAGTCTAGAAGATTGAATAGAGTGCATACAGAGCTCATGGGGTTAAGTATAACCAGACAACCTGATTTCTAGCCTCAGCTCTACCATTCACTAGCCATGTGACCTCGACAAGTTACTTAATATTTCTGAGCCTCAGTTTTTCCATATGTAAGGAGGTGATGGTAGTAGTATCTACTTTATACGACAGTGTTAAGGAAAGCACTTGGGAAGACTGTAAGGGACATGATTGGCTTTTGTGGCTCTACTGAAAGGTCTACAGGTAAGTAGGTGTCCTGCCTCACTTCCCTGGTATCTTTTCCACTTGCCCAAAGCAGGGGCAGCAGAAATAGGGAATAGGACACTTCATGACTCCATTGACAATCTCAGGCAACTCCTGCAAGAACTTCTAGTCCAGGTCTTTGTCACCAGCAACCTGAAACTTCATTACTTTACCCCCTCCCTTCCCAACTCTTTTCCCCATTCCTACCTGAGACTCCCAGTATCCAAGCTAGTCTTCCTTTATCCAAATTCCAGGTAGTTGGGTTGATTTGGATCTGTGGAGAGATATTTTCAGGCTTCCATCACTCCCTGGAGGGGCATTAAAAACTCTACTAATGTTTCTTAAAGTGTGGACCCTGCAGATGACCTCATATGTTTGTCCAAAACACAGATTTTCCATTTCATGCCAATAAAACTGAATTTAAATTTGGGAGTTGGAACATGCATTTTAATAAGCTCCTGAGGAAAAACTTATATACATGCACATTAAAACTGGGATTTTAATTACAATTAAAATTCCCCTCTCTGTTTCAAGAAAATAATCTTCAGTGGAGGATGGGAGCTCAGCATTCAAAAGCAGAGGAGATCTGCCTGCTGCCATGTTTCTCCTCCAATACCGACAGGCTCAACAGCAATGGGAAAGAAGTTGAGAGGGGGTAAAAAGGGAGTAAGTCCTAGAAAGCTGGGGGCGGGTTGTGAGCCTTCTTCTAAACCCTTATTATCGTCCTGAGCAATTACAATTATGGGGCGCCACGGAAGTCGCTGTCCCAGGGTCACAGTCTCTGCCCTCTCCGGAGCATGAGTGCAACAGAGGGTGGCGTTTGGCTATCTGTGCGGTTGGGGAAACTGAGGCCTGGAGAGGTGGAGGGCTTCTGTACTTAGTCCGCAGCCGGTCTGGCAGGATGGAATCTAGGTCTCTGCTTCCACCTGTCCTGCCACAAGGAAGCCGGCGGTGGAGGGGCGTGGCTCTCTTAAACCCACTTTCCACAAAGCTCTGCCAGAAACGCAACCTCCCCACTGGGGCCTTAACTCTGTCCCTCACCACGCATCCATGAAAAACTGGAGCGCGCTCCTTCCTCTCCAGCCACAATTTCCCTACCCGCGCCCGCGCTCCGGCTGAGTGTGTCTGGGAACACAACGGTGTGAAGCTCAGTAGCGGGATTCCCCATGGGAAAGTCGCCCAGTCCCTCCCCGGGGATGCTAGAGACCCTGAACCGAAACAGGAGGCAGGACGCCCGCGGCCGGGAAGCGGCCCCAGCCCGGATTTCCCTCCCGGGTGGGGCAGCAATGACTCACCCCCTCCCCCTTCCCTCGGTTTCCTTGTTTGCATTTCTCCTCCCGGCCACGTGGCGATCGGTGCAGCTACTCACCGCCCTAACCTCGACACCCCGGCCTCTGCTGCCCCTGCACACACCCTAGAGCCTTCCTACCCACTGGGGTTTCTCCGGGCTCCAGATGGTGCCCACTGTACTTACCCCTGGGTGCCGACTCCACCCCGCCCCCGCCAGTGCCCGCCCCCTTCCCCTACACCCTCCCTTACGGTCAGGCCCAGCGGCTGCTCCCCACCCCTTCGGCCAGTCCAGGGAGGGGAAGGGGGCGGGCAGCGCAGGGGGTGTGACAGCTCCCTCCCGGACCAGTGCCAGCGGCAGCCTCGCTTCAGCGCCCTGTGCCAGCTGGCTCTTTCGTCTGGGACGAAGGCGGAGGCTCGGGGCTCCTAGTCGCTGGGCCCGGGTGTGTGGGGGGGTGCTCCCCCCACACCCTCTACCCTCTACTCACCCAAGACGAGCCTCTGCACCCAGTCCTGCATTTTGCTGTCCTCAGAGCCGGTTCCGGTCGGAACTAGCCCTGTTCACTGCCCCTGGGACTTACGCCGGCACCCGGCACCCGTCCAGGGTACCCCTGTGGAACTGACGGGGGGCTGACTCGGGATCCCCCAATCTCGGCTAGAGGCTGCAAGGCTGTGCGATCTTGAGAAGGAACATGAAGGTGGGTGAGGTGGGGTCAGGGTCAGGGAGGAGGAGCAGGAGTGGGCGGGAGAGGAAGCCAACACCGTGGGGAGTTTAAGGGGGGAGAGTTTTGGAGGGGGAGGGAAATGGGGAGGAGGATCTGAGCCGAAGCTGCATTTCTGGGGGATCCATGAGCCTATAGCCTCGGGCTGGAAGGAGTGGAGATTCCTGCAAGGGCACGAGCAGTGAGGTGGGGCAGAATTCCAGAGAGACTGAGAAGAAGGGCCTGGTCTTCTCAGTAAGCCAGCTGGAGACCCCTAAGTGCGCCAGACCAGCAGGCTCCGGTGAAGGTCTTCCTGTCCCTCCCCCGGCTCCTGGCAGGGGAGCAGCACCTCCGCCTGACCAGTCCAGAGGACTCTAAGGAAGTGTTTCTTCTGCCTGGGGCAGTTGTGTGGCTATCCAGCTGCCCTAGCCACTGCCTATGGCTGTCCACCTTCCTCCCCCCCTCACAGGTGGGCTTGCCAGGTGAGAGCCGCTGGCAGGTGGGCCCGGCTGTGGAGGATAACCTGGCTCTGGGAGCACCGCAAGTGGGAGGCCTCCCTGACTTGGTGCCAGAGGGGACACTGCTCAACATGGTGCTGAAGAGGATGCATCGACCCAGAAGCTGCTCCTACCAGCTGCTGCTTGAGCACCGGCGCCCCAGCCGCATCCAGGGGCTTCGATGGGTGAGTGTCCTCTGCCTGTCCAGGTCACCAGGACTGGAGGGAGCCTGTACTGTAATGTCAGGTGCTGCTGGTGGTCCAGCTTGCTCTGGGGGTGCAGTGTGGTGCAGCTGGTGTGGATGGAGAGTGGAGAAGTGTGGCTGCAGTGTGTGGGGGTGGCTCACACAGCGGCACCCTGTGTATCTGTGTGCCTGTGGTGCTCAAGTACCCCCACCGGGGCACAGGGAAAGAGAAAAAAAGCTTATAAAATATCTGTCACCTGTGTGTGCCAAGCATTGAGTAGGTGCTTGTGTGTTCTCTCCAGGTGGGGGTGGGAAATATGGGGGCCGGCTCAAGTGGGAGGTGAAGTAAGCTTGGTTACTGCTCTTGACATGTCACCGTGGCAACATTCTCCTTTAGTGAGCAATTGAACTGGGCTGATTCCGCTTTTTGATCTTGGGATCATGTGGACAATGCCAGGCATCTGACTTTGGGGGCACTCAGGAGGATTCTAAGAAATATGGATAATCAAGGATCCTGAAGTTCTTTTTGCCAGTGGGAAAAAAGTCTCTTGAGCTAAAAGAATGAAAGAGGGACCAGGAGCAGGGAAATGGGGTGCTAGGGAGAAAAGGGGGCTGGATAATGACTGTAGAGTCTGTTCAGTTGGAAGCTTTCTCCAACCACCCAGGCTTAATAGCGTCCCTTCACCTGAGAGTCAGTTGTGTGACCACTGCATGTTCCCACTTGTATGTATGGCAGGGTAGGCAGGGAGGATGGTACCAGGTAAAGGGGTCTAGGGGAAGCAGGAGTGGGTGACAAACCCGGGAGATCTCATCTCTTATCAGCAAGGCCCTTCATGTAGAACCGCCACCATCTTCTCCCTCCTCCTACCTCGCCTAAGTGCCATTTCTATTTACCAAAACATGAGGCTGAGTTGAGAAAACCAAGGCCTTTCAAGATGAGGGGGTCCTCTTTGCAATCAGAATTGAGAGAGTGTCCATCCCAGTTCTCCCCCAGCTCCTCTGTCCCTGAACTTCCTGATAGGTGCCTCTGGGGCCATCGGTCGTGCTCCCCTACCCCTTGGCTCTCGTCACAGCAGTAGCTACTGCTTGGAGTCAGTGGGCTGGAACCCTCCCTCCCTCCTTCCCTCTCAGACTATAATTACTTGTGCATTTCCTGTCCCCTTCCCAGCTTGTAGAGGCAAGGTAGGGGATGGGAGGGGGAAGGTCAGGTACCAGGACAATGAGGTCACTGGAGGATCTCCTGGGATCCAAAGTCTGGGAGGGAGCAGAGGAGGCCGCCACACTGTCTCCTGAGGCCCCAGAATTGAAGGGCTGGCCTGCTGGGGAAGCCGGAAGGGTGGGGGTGAGGGTTGCTGGAGTGTAAATGGGGTCAAAGGCACAGAATCAAGGCCTCTCCCATGCCAGGTGGGTGTGGGGGGTAGTGGGAGTTGGTGACTGGAGGGAGCTTAAATTGTTAGAGGCCCACCCTCTCCTGATGGCCATCCCTAGGGAAGGGGGATGGGGTGGTTTCAGTCCATTGTGCCCAGGTTTAAGGGGCTCTGGGTGCCTGTAAAGCTGCACCTCTCGATGATGCCTTTGGCTCTTGGAGGGCTCCCATGAGGGGACAAGTACCCACAGGGAGTGTGCACACACTGGTTGAAGGAGGTTAAGACTACAGCTTCAGGACAAGGCTGGGAATTATTTGGAACACGCCTACCTCTCACAAAGCCCAGGGGAAAACCCATCAACCTCTCAAAGAAGAGGTCTGAAGACAGCTGTTTCTGTCTCTAAACCAGGACAAGTAGAAATGAAAACAACAAGAGGACTTGAGGTTATATACAGAAAGAACTTACCAACTATGGCAAAGATGACACTAGAATGGGATGAAGAACATCTTCTTCGGAAATTATAAGGGGGAAATGAGATCTCATCTGATATCTGGGGGCAGGGCAAGATCAGGGTGACCTCTGGTGGGTTCCGTAGGCTCAGGGAAGCCCAGGAGTGACTGCGTGGGGGAAGGTGGCCCTCTTGTCTAAGACAGAAAACATACTTCATCCAACCTGTGCAAATAATGGTGGTAGCTTATAGTAACGTAGTGTTTATGTCCTAGGTACTACGAGCCTTACCTTTATTATATCAAATGATGCTCACAACAGCCCTGTGGAATGGGTCCTAATGTCATTGTCCCCATTTTATAGATGTGAAAATGGAGGCCCAGAGAGGTTGAGTGACAGGGGAGGGTTGCATAGCTGCTAAGTGGCAGAGCTGGGCACTGTATTCTGGCAGTCCAGCTGTGGATTCCATGCTCATACTGCCCCGCAGTACTTTTCTCCAGTTGCTGAGTCCAGCACTGACCTCCATGGCATCCCCGCCCCATGCACTCTTTCCCTGGCCACTATGCACAGCCTGGCCTGGGACCTTAGCCATGGCCCAAGGGAACTGGTTTGACAGGTCCCCATGCTGTCTGGCTCTGTGCCTGTCCCTCCAGCCCTGCTCTGACACTCAGTGACAGGGAGGGAGGGTGGGGTAGGCGACTGTGTTAGTGCCAGGGGACCTAGCACCTCCTCTTCCACCATGAATCCTTCTTGTTCAGGACTGAGAGGAGGAGGAGGGCAAGGACCTTGACCCACACTTCTTTCCAACTGAGAACCACTAAACTGACACTCAGGGTGATCCGATCAGGTGCAGGGCCAGCCATAGAACTGCATTTTTATTTATTTATTTTTTTTTTGCACTGTGTCCAGGTAATAGGTGCCCATCATGAAATTATTGGTCAGGTTACTGTACTTAACATTTACTAAGCAGTTACTGTGTGCTGGGCACTGCTCTGCATGCTTGACATCATTAACTCATTTGATCTCATAATTACCTTAGGGGATGGGTATTGTTATTATCAAATCCATTTTACAGATGAGGAAACTAGAGCACTGAGAGTTTAAATAATCAGCACAAGATCACACAACCAGATAATAATGCAAGATCGAGAATTTGAACTCAGATGTCTGGTTCAGGAGCACACACACTTGACACTCACTGCCCCTCCTCGCCCCATCCCTGAGGTTCCCATGCACATGAACATTCCCGGGGCATAGAGGAGCTCATAACAAGGCTGTCTAATTTTGTTTAACACAATGTTTTCCAAACTTACCTACCCATGGAACATTCCTGAGGGCAGAATACTTCTGCTATCTCTGTATCCACACAGCAGGGGAAGCTGGGGGTAGGCGTCACAGGAGACAGTGGGGCGCAGTGCTGAGAACTTTGGAGCCAAGTGTGATTACCAACTGTAGGGCAGGTTATGCAACCTCTGAGCCTCCTTTTCTCTAGCAGTGAAATAGGATACAAATACCTACTTCTAGGGTCAGCATTGGGAGCAGTCAATCAGTAGAATCTTCTATTCCTAAGTGCTTGTGTGCCTCTGGTAAGTTACTTCAGCTCTCTGGGCTTCTGCTTTCCTTGGTGAAATGACAGAGAGGCCTTAAGATCCTGTCCTGAGCCCCTGCATGCGGGCATGGAGGGGCATTTTCTGACCATTGTGCTCATCCCCTGGGGTAGAACAGGAAAGACCAGCCTGCTCACATGGCCTGGAACATGCCCCCCCCCCCCCCCTGCAATGTGCCCTCCTAAGTCAGAATAATACCAGGAAGGAGCCAGTGCTGAAACCTGGGTTGTGGGCACCAAAGGGAGCTGGGGCAGGGACCGGGACGACCTGGGCATTTTGACATGAACAACAAGAAGTCATCAGCACTTAGGCACTGTTTGTTCCGACACAGGGGTCTGGCCGGGTAGCATTCCTGCCCTTCCTCCTTTCCTGGCTCCTCCTCCTCCTCATTTCCTGTCATTAAGTCTCCAGGGCTCTGTGTCTGGCACTGGACTGGGCCCCATGACCCGGGCAGGGATACCCTTGGGACACCTAGTGACTTCCGCCCAGCTTTGGACCAGGCACCCAAGCATGCCAGACCTCAGGCCTCTGCCTGGGCACAGTGGCAAGATGCCTGCGACAAGGGACCTGCCAGCTCAGGGGAGAGGGCTTAGGTCCTAGCTCCCTGACCAGGTCTTTCCCAGGGCCCAGAGTGCAGGTGGGAAAGCAGGAGAGGTGTTGCTGCTGAGAGGAAGGGGGAGTGGGGAAGAGGAAACAGGCACTGTGGTGGGTGGAGTGAGACCAAGAATGTGAGCACTGTGGGTAGAACTCAGTTTATCCATAGCTGG